GTAAGCCTGTAATGTTAGTAATGCCTTCTGGCATCTAGCTATTGGAAGGGACTCATAACTATTAAAAGGGACAGAAACTTTAAAGAGATAGTACTTCAGTGTAGATGACTGTTTTACAGTTTGACTCTACTTTTTTTATATTATACCTTTCTACCCAATAGGGATGACGAAATTGTGGGCATTAGCCAAAAGGGAATGAGAAGTAAAACCCACAAAAACTTCAGCCTACTGTTTCTATGTAGTGAAAATAGATTTAACCTAGATTTCTTCCTTTCCCCAGCTCTATTGAGATATAATTAACATAATATTGTGTAAGTTTATGGTGTACAATGTATTGGTTTGATATATGTATGGATTGCAGAATGTTTACCATAAGGATAACACATCCTTTACATCATAATTAACATTTTATTGTTATAGTGAGAACATTAAAGCTGTATGCTCCCAGCAACTTTCGAGTATACACCGCAGTATTGTTCACTTTAATCAGCATGCTGTGCATTAGCTCTCTGGACTTTATCCAACTTGCAACTGAAAGTTTGTAGCCTTTGAACATTGTCTCCCATTTCCCCACTCCTCAGCTCCTGTAAACCACCCTTCTACTCTGTTTCTGAGTTTGATGTTTTTAGATTTTACATATACATGAGATCATGCGGTATTTGTCTTGCTCTGTTGGACTTCACTTAAAATAATGCAGTCAGGGTTCCTCCCTGTTGTCACAAATGTCAGGAATTTCTTTTTATGGCTGAGTAATACTCCACTTTGTGTTTATAGGGTGGGGCAAAAGTTGGCCTACAGTTCATATGGAAAATAATACAATAATTTAATAGTACAAGAATAAACCATGTTTCACGTACTCATAACTGTAAACCTACTTTTTCGCTCCATCCTGTATAACACATTTTCTTTATTCACCTGTTGACGGATACTTGGTGGTGTTTCCATGTATAGGCTACTGTGAATAAGGCTGCAGTGAATGGGGAAGTGCAGATATCTCTTTTGAAACAGTGGTTTCCTCATCTTCAGATATATATACCTGGTGGAGGGATTGCTGGGTCATATGGTAGTTCTATTTTTAATTTTTTGAGGAACCTCCATACTGTTTTCTCCAGTGGCTGTATCAATTTATATTTTCACTAACAGTGCACCAAGGTTCACTTGTCTCTACATCTTCACCAACACTATCTCTTGCTTTTTTGATAATAGCCATTCTAACAGGTGAGATTATATCTCATTGTAGTTTTGATTTACATTCCCATAATGATTAGTGATGTTGAGCACCTTTTCATGTTCATGTTGGCCATTTGGAAAATGTCTTTCCAAGACCTTTGGAAAAAAAGTCTTTTCAAGTCCATTGTCCGTGTTTTATTTTTAATTCGACTGTTTGCTGTTGAGTTCTATCAGTTTCTTACTATTTTTGGATATTAACCCCTTATCAGATACACAATTTGCAGATATTTTCTCCCACTCTGTAAGTTGCCTTTCATTTTGGTGATTGATTGTTTCTCTGTACAGACGGTTTTTGGTTTGATGTGGTCCCACTGGTCGATTTTCGCTTTTAGTGTAATATCCAAAAAGTCATCACCAAGACCAATGTCAGAAGCTTTTTTCTGAACTTTTCTTCTAAGAGTTTTACAGTTTTGGGTCTTGGGTTTTAAGTTCTTACTTCATTTTGAGTTAATTTTTATGAGTGATTTAAGATAGCCGTCCAATTTCAGTGAAAGGGATAGATTTAAAATAAGACTAGAGTGATCAGCAATTGATGGTATCTTGGATATTGGCTTTGGGGAAAGGAATCAATAATAGGACTCAGGTTTCTGGTCTTGGTGACTGGGGAGATGAGATATTCTTTAAAACAGATTTAAAATGGGACGACAGATTTCTCAGGAAATGAATGACTTGAGTTTAAGATGCCTGCAGATATCTGTGTAGAACTCACCAGTGGGAAGTTTCAGAAGTGAATCTGGGAGTCAGGAGAGAGCTCTGGGCTGGAACTGCAGGCTTGAAAGTTGTAAGGACGCACTGAGACGTAAGAGCATGGAGGCGGATGACGTCACCCAGAAAAGGGTGTAGTAGAAGGAGCTCTGTACTCACAGCACTTGGCAAGTAGCAGAATGTTGGGACAAATGAAGGGTTTCAAGGATACAGTCTTATTCAACCTCGGAACAACCCTGAGTTAGGAGTTTAATCCCAGTTTTACAAATGAGAACATTCAAGCTCAGAGTAGTTAAGTGATTTACCCAAAGTGTCTCTGCTGCTGAGTGGTCAAAGTGGGATTTCAAGTCCAATCTGTATGATTTCAAAGCCCATTTTTTCTTACCATGTCTTCTTTGTAAACCCCAAGTTTACATAATATGATGCTACTATTAATTTTCTTTCTTTCTTTCTTTCTTTCTTTTTTTTTTTAGCTTCTGCCAGTATTCTGGTTTAGTAAAATTGTGATACGTTCTTCTCATTAACCATTTTTTCTCTTAATTTCCCCAGTTCCATTCCCGAACACATCAGATAGCCTTTTCTGTGAGATTAACTCAAGAGTACTCACCTCTAGTCCAATGCATGCTTTAAAACCACAGACCTGACAGAGGTCCTCCACTGGCTACCGAGAGAGGCCTGTCCTCAGTTTGGCATGCAAGGCCCACCATAAAGTCACAAGAACTGTTCAGAACTTTTCCCTATTTCCCAGTTCTCATCAGCACTTACTCATGTATTTGGATGTTGTTTGCATGCAGATTTCCTGTGATCTCAGTGTTCTTTATAAGGATTTCATTTTAATGTTTAAATTTTAATCTTTAAGTTAAATTACTCTTAATGTTTATACTCTTTTATCATTTTTTCTTTAAATGACTATCTTTGTGGTGGAAGCAGCTTAAATGTCACCTGACCTTAGTTCCATATCCAGTGTAAGGGGTTTTTGTCCTCTATTTCTAATGTGATGAGCCAGCCTTTGTTCCTGCATTTTTCTAGGAGGATCCTTACTTTTTTGAGAGGAGGAGAGGAGAGCAATTCTAATCGTTAGAAGCTTGAAATTAGAAATATTCTTAATATTGAGTCAAAATCCTCCTTTTAACATGTATGTTTTCCAGAACCTGCCCTAAGAACAGCAAGAGAACCTTTTCTCCTTTGCCTCCTGAAGTTTCATCAGACATTTCAAGATAGCTCTTAATCTCTCCTTAGAGACATAAGCCAAATACTCTCGTTTGCTTGGACCTTTTCTCCTATAACAGGTCTTAAATTTCTCCTGAGGATTCTGCAGTGTAGTTGGTGCCCCATCTTAAAACATGGTGCCCGAACACAGCCCCCGACAGGCGAGCCGTGCAATGTCATGCCTTTAATGAGGGCTCTGGGCTTGTATATTAAAAGCCTGAGATTGCTTCAGCTTTGTAGCAGCCAGGTTACGTTTTACATTCATTCACTTAAAATACCCAGATATTATTTCTACATAGGTGGTAGTTACGCTAGCTCATCATCTACTGTGCAGTTGATTTTCTTTAAATACAGAACTTTCTAACTTTCCTAGTTACATTTCATCTTATTTTGACCTAACATTTTAGCCAAGTATGATCATGTTATCCAGCAGCTTGTTAACTGTGTTTCCCAGTTTTTAGGACATCTGGAGATTTTGAAGCGTACTTTTCACGTCTTCTTTCAAGTTCTTAATAAACATCACAAAAACAGGGCTTCTCCAGTTCATCCCCCAAGTTAATCAGTGCTACTTACAAATGGTTCTGTTAACCATTTTTCTGTCATCCATTTGCATCTCTTCATCATATCTGCAAAGATCTCATTTGTACATTCAACAGATTTTTATTTGGTACCTACCATGTGCAAAGAGGTGCTAGAGATACAGTGAAGATAGCAGTCCCTGTTTGTAGAGCCAACACTCTAGGGAGAGCGGGAAGTATTTTGTTAAATGTTCTGCAGAAATTGGGTTACACAATTCTCTCTGATATTCTGTTTATTTGGTACCATATCAGAAAAGGGAATGATGAATCATTACTTTTTGCAGGCTTTATATTGGCTACTAATGAACTACCTCCTGAAAATGGGTTTCATTACCTTTCTCATTTCACCTTCCATGGTTGAGCTTTGGAAGTCTTTGGAGTTTGCCTCCACCTTTCAGAGCTCTGAGCTCAGTAGAGAGCAGCCTGTTTAGCCATATTTTTGTGGTTGGTTGTATAAACATTTCATTCTTTCTCCCCACGTTATCTGGGTCCATTTTTGTTTTTTAGTAAACTCAGTTATGAAGATTTTCTGTTCCACTTTAGTCATTTTCTCTTCTACAATCATTGTTGCTTAGATTTTATATTTTGAAATGTTCTTTCCTAAAGAGAATAACTCAGTAGCCTCAGATTTTCTTTTTTCCTTTGAGCTCTTAAAGTACCACAGTAACTCTCCAGGATCCTAGTCCTTTTCACTTCAACTACTTCTTTTTAATTCACCAGATTAGTCCCAGATGAGTTTAAAACTGCAAAGGTTTATCTGTATTCCAAGGGATTAAACTATCAAAGTGCAAGTTCTTTTTTATTAGAGCAATACAAAGAGCAGATGTCCTCATAGTTCATAGAAGATAGCCCACCTGTTGTCTTAGCACATGCAGATTCTCATCATGAGTCAAGTGCCGTCCATATCCTCCCTCCGGCCAGTTCCCACCATTGATTGTATCATTTCTACCCACTCTTTCCCCTTTGGTCCAGTATCCTCCACTATAGTGTCTTATTCAAGTTGTGGGATTTTCACATGGATATATATGTTCTTAAACAATTATAAGGATTTTTTGCCTTTTTCTGTGGATCCGTCTCTGTGGAACAGCAGATTTCCTGTAGAGGTCATAGTCCATTGTTACTTTTACCCATCCCACCAAGTCTTGGTGATTTCCATGAGATTTTATTTATCTCCTTGTTCTTTTCTACTATTGCTACTTTTAAATACAGTATCTAACACTAATGTTCAATAAGTAATATTTATGGTTAACCTCACAAAGTATTTGCCTTCTCTTTTAGGCTGTGAGGATATCATTGCTGAGAGCATCTCATTAGATACCTTAATTGCCATCCTCAAGTGGAGCTCTCATCCATATGGCTCTAAATGGGTGCACCGACAAGCTTTACATTTCCTCTGTGAGGAATTTTCCCAGGTCATGACTTCGGATGTTTTTTATGAACTCAGCAAAGACCATCTGCTTACTGCTATCCAGTCTGACTACCTGCAGGTAATCATTTATACACCTCTCAAATTCATTGTCATTCATATGTGCACCAAGCCACCCACCTGTGCTCTATTATTCTCACATCTAGGGAGAGCATCCCACCTAGGAATGCCCTCTTCACATTTGTATAGCAAAGCCTTCCAGCTCTCAGGCCCTTTATGCACTCAGCTACCATGACGTGACATTGTGAACCGTCCTGTGTCCTGATCAGCCACACCACAGGGGCTGAGACAGTAGGCAGGGTCAGAAGCACATCCCAACCGTGGTTTTCTTGGCCACTGATAGTAAATTCACTGTATCAGTTTCTTATTTTTGTTGGAGTGTTAAATACCTAGACTGTAGACAATAGCTTAAGCAACACAAAGAATAATAATTTCTGATCTACTCAAATGCTCATTAAAACTCTGTATATGTGTACTACTAAAGTAAAATAATGTTTTCAACTACTTATTTTTAATCAGAAGCAGTTTTTAGCAAATTCTGTGTTCTCAACTTACATATCCATCTAATTTGGTAATTAAAACAGTAGATTTAAAATCTTGTAAAAATTTTCAGGTAAGGTGCGTTCAAGCATAGTTTTCTTTTGCATTGGTTGTATGAATTTAACGCTGAAAATTGTACAACGCTTTTAGTGCTACGAAGATGTAAAAACCCAGTGATCCATTTCTTATTTTTTATAGTTGTACTAGAAAAGTTATAAAATTCTTCCATCTCAGTCAGAAATACAGTAGAGAGTTAAATAATCCACTTAGCATTTGTGCTTTGATTACCGTACAAATGTTATCTTGGATTTGATTTGTTTAGGATCTGGGTTTGTTAACCTTGTTTTACTGTCCTGATCTAGACTATGTACATTATGGGGGTAAGGATTTGTCAGTTTTCTCAGGTTATTGTCCTTAGAAGCGTTGTGTTTCTTCTCAGAAAGTAAAGACCCTGGATAGCAGCCTTGATTTTGCTTTAAAATTTTAGATAATATACGAAGAAATGAGGGACACATTGCCATTTCACACATGTGCTCACCGGGTCCTTCACCAATCAGTAGGATACTTTGTGGGATTGTTCTTGCAGGAGATAGTGGCCACTCTGTACCCATGTACTTTGAATTATATTTATTTATCTCCATTTTGTCCCAAAAAGAACTCAAGGCAGCTGTACAAAGACCATATAGTAAGATAAAGTAAAGCTAAAATAGGTGAAGAGAACAAGATAAAGAAAAAAATAAAGGTGGAAATAAGAATAAAAAATTTAGTTGAAGCCAAGAGTGAAGTTACTGGACAAAACCCATGTAGTACAGTCTTGGGTGTTTGCCTTTGATGGACTGCAAGTTTTAACAGCCAGTGTAAAGAGTGAAATATGGTAGGTAAGTTGAATGTTGTATTTACTTTAGGACCTAGACGTCATTAATGAAATTAACCATTTATGTAATTTCACCAAAATAAGTATAAACCATTTTTTTATTACAGGCAAGTGAACAAGATATCCTTAAATATCTGATTAAATGGGGTGAGCACCAGCTGATGAAAAGAATAGCAGACAGAGGTAAGCTCAGAAAATTAGCTTGCACTGATTTTCCCAAAAGCACGCTGACATGATGCTACATGTCAGTCTTGACAATAGCCACTGTTGCCTGATGAAAATAAAAATTGTTATAGGCGGGGAGGGTATGCTCTGTTGGAAATAAATATACCAAAAAAATATTATAATTATAAAAGGATACTTTCATGTTCTCTTTCTATGTGCTTAATAGTAAATGTTGACTGATTTACAGAAGTAGTAGAATGAAATTTTTCATTTAATGATTAAAGTATCACAATGCATATTGTTGATGAAAATGTTCTGAAATTAGTGGTGATGGTTGCACAACATTGTAAATGTATTAAAAGCCACCAACGACTTCTACACTTTAAAATGGTGAGTTATATGTTATGTGAATTTTACCTAAATAAAAAAATATATGACTACTCCCAGAAAGCATATTGCTGTTTATTTTTCAATATTGTGAAGGTAAAGGGGAGATCATTTTGAGTGGCCTCTAACTGGGAATACACTAGAAGAGATGGAAGCATCCTATGGTAGAGGTGCACTTTCAACCTTGGAGGCTTGTGATTCTTTTATTGTACTGCGGTAAAAGCCTAGCTTCTCAAAAACAGTCTTTTAACCTATCTATCACATAATTTAAGGAAAATACCAGTGTTTGCCTACAGACTTTGCAAAATATTTAGCATTTATATTTGTGAATAATAAAGACCTTATTTTTTAAATATAGCTCTGTAGATTAAAGACATGATAAAGATTCCCAAAAATGTATATGTTTTTCCTACTTCAGTATAATAAGCGTAAGTACTTCAAATCTTCCCCTTTCACTAATACCCAGTAAAGAAAAACTTTGTTCTCTGCTCTAGATAATGGAAATATATTACATGTCAGAGATCAAAGAATTTACTTATAAAGGTCTGTCCAGAAAGTCTCCAGCCACGTGCTAGGGAAAATAGAGACATTTATCGAAGAAGATACAAGACACACTGGCACCTTGGGACCTCACAGAGTTCTCCCAGTCCGCATCAGCTGCCCTGTCATATTTTCCTGAATCTCACTGATGATCTGAAATCTCTTCCCTTTCAAAGGTGATTTGTTTTGTGAAATGCCAGAAGTCTCAGGGTGCCAAATCTGGGCTGTAGTGGGGCAGAGTCACCTGGGTAATTTAATGTTTTGCCAAAAAAAAACTCTGCACAAGACATGATGCATGAGCAGGCACATTGTCGTGATGAAGCTGCCAATCACCAGTTGCCCAGAGCTGCGGCCTTCTGAATCATCCCAGTAGTTTCCACAGAAGAATGTTCAAGCTTAACGCAAAACTTCATGCAGATCCGTTGCTGTACTTGCTCATTTTGAATGTGACAGTCACACAGTGCACATGCTCAGTCAGTGGCTTCTACTGCCCCCACTGACTAGTACAGTGAAGGTGTCATTGTTCCTGCATGCACATTCCAGTTAACTTCCCTTGGCTTCCAGGTTACACTGATGTCACACAAACCATTCTCATTATATTAACAGTGGCCAGACTTTTTCTGGACAGACCTTGTATGCACTAACATTACCATATTATAGAAACATAGGCGACTATCGTAAAAATCTTAGCATGCCCTTTATTTTGCCGCTTTAGATACCAGGAGATTAATATCGTGTTAAGTTGCTGTTAAACAAAGGGTGGCCTAATGAGCGTTCTTTTAACCTACAGTGACCAGAAATAGAACTTGCCCTGCAATGTCCAAAAAAACTGGTCACAAAAGTGGGAAAGCTTAAGAAAAAGCCCTGGGTCAAACTAGATTTTAATAGATTGCCATCTTTTTTCCTTTGAGTTAGTATGTGGAAAAGAATCCTTTATTCTTTAGTGCAGAACAGTCATAAAAGAATATCGTTGCACTTTTGACACCATACTTTTTCTCTGTCCAAGAACATCTCTATTAACTCAACTTCATAAAACACAAACATAATTTATAACCCTTTTTAAAGCAGATGTACTTTAAGTACAAAGAGTAGTACTGAAAATGTACTAGATAAGAAAGCCGTTCTGAAAATGTGGATTTGGTTGGAGACTTTTCATTTTCTGTCTCCTAGAGCCAAACTTACTGAGTGGCACTGCTCATAGTGTGAACAAAAGAGGTGTGAAAAGACGAGACCTGGACATTGAAGAGCTTCGAGAGATCCTTTCTCCTCTCTTACCTTTTGTGCGAATTGAACACATTTTACCTATAAACAGTGAAGTCCTAAGTGATGCAGTAAGTCTGTGTCTTCATTCATCCCTTTCATGAAAAGAAAAAGCACTAAAATGTACAGGCTTATCTTGGTTTGTCATTGGAAATAATTTCTGTTACTAACAGAATATTGTGGAAGTGTAAATGCCATGAGGTCAGAGACAGATGTCTCTTTTGTCCTAAATTGAATCCCCTGTGTCTGGCACTAAAAATGGAAAGGGTAGAAATTACCTTTGGAGACTCTTAAGAATAACAATAAATTAGCAAACTGGAGGAAAGGAGAATGGTTCAATGTAAAAAGGATGAATAAAACTTATAATGGTATTCAGTTAAAAATTGATGGAGCTGATCATGTTAATGTTACAGTTTTTAAGTGAATTTTTAAACTAATAGAATTGTTCAAATTAATGAATGGGAAAATAAAAGTTCTCATGCATTGGTTTATAACTTTAATATAATGCTGTAAAATAGTAGTTTTGAAAAGTCCTCTAAAAAGAACATAGGGATAACTGCCTGAATATAAAATATATGTTCAAACTCTAATATAGTACTTAATCTGTGCTGCTAGCATAGCAAGCAAAATAGTCCAGAAAAAGATCCTAATTAATAGAAGCAGCATGCACAAATGAACTATGAAAGACTGGTGTGATGCTAGACTAACTGATGAATGGAGAAGGAAGGGAATGTGTTTAAAGTTAAGTCCTCGTTTCATTTGCACACAAAGTTAATCCCTGTCAGATTGAAAAATATTAAAATGTAGAAAACTAGAAGAAAACAAATATTTATTGAATCTGATTAGAAAAATGTTCAGTCTCACTAGTAATCGCATACCCCAAAGAAAGCAAAATAAAACAGTGTTACCATTTTTTCACGCATTAAGTCAGTGATCTTTGAAATAATATTACTGTCCCATACAAGAAGTACAGGTGGTACATTGGTGTCATTGTCATTAGATATTTGGAAATAGCCTAAATATCTTAAGAACAGGGAAAATAAGTAAATTATACTGCAGCTACTCAACAGAATATTTTGCTGCCGTGAACAGTGGTTATAATTACTAATATAGCAACATAGAAAATGCTTATGGTGGAATATAATTTTAGAAAGATATAAAATGTGTATTTTATGTATTGTAGCATGCAGTTAATGTTTAAATTCATTTGAAAAAGGAAATACAGCAACATTATTACAGTTGAAATAGATTAGAGTTAGGAGTTTTTTCTCTTTTGTAAACTAATGCAACATTTTATTAAAAATTAATTTTAACTAATGTAGCAATTAGACATTTATTATGTTTAACAAGAATAATATTTGAGAAACAGTGTTTGGTTTTGTTTAAAATCTACGATTCAAACCACGTTGAACTCTGAATTTGATATAGAAAAATATTTTAGAACTTCGGTTTAGTAAACTTAGAAAAATATATCGCTGCTCTTTAACTCCATGGCTACCACATCATAAGTCCTCAGTAAAAAAGTTTGCTAATAATGTCTGTTAACTGGAGGTGCTAAGCACGGTGCCAAACTTCATTTAATCCTCATAGCCACCTTATGATCTGTGGGTACATGATTTACATTCTCTTAGCAGAGATGAGGAAACAACAGGGCCACCACATTTAGTTAGTTGTGCGGTGCCCCATCTCCAGGACTGTTTAGGAGCCCTTGAAGTGAGGCCCAGGTAAAAGGAGATGTCCACAGTCACCAGGCTGTTTCACTAGAGTTAAGGTTTGAGGCCAGCCAGTAAGTACCATGCACACTGCCTGTGTCCTTGTACTGTAGGTACAAGGCCCTGTAGTTGTTATTTTGTCTTGGGGGGCAGGGGGTTGGGTTGGAATCAGTTCCCAGATGAGTAAGAATTAGGAAAAAAAAATTGGTTTTCATTAAGAATCCTGAAAGTTAGTTCAAGTCATTACATTCTTAATTAAGATACCTCATTTTTAAAACATCATTCCTCTGTGTAGAGAAAAATGGGAAATTGTATGATCTTTTATTGCTGAGTCCTTTAAATATTATTAAACATTTAAAGTATTCTTAAATTTCACATGTATTTCTAAAGTTTTATAAAAATGGTAAAGTTTGAACATTTTATTTATAGGTATAATTATTTTTATCTTAGTGTTGTAGTACTACACAAATCTTTATGTAAAAAAAAATTTTGTTTTTCAAGATGAAAAGAGGCTTGATTAGCACTCCTCCATCAGATATGCTTCCTACATCAGAAGGTGGAAAGTCAAATGCCTGGTTACGGCAAAAAAATGCTGGAATATATGTTCGTCCTCGACTATTCTCTCCCTATGTTGAGGAAGCAAAGGTAATGAAAAATATTTTCACATACTAGAACACCTGATTACAAACTAGGAGCACAAAGATATTTATTGTGGCATTATTTAAACGTTATGGAAATGGTCTAAACATTCAGTAATCAGGAAAGTGAACATAAATTCTAGTTTGACTACTCAGCAGAATATGTTTCTGAAATGTTTAATTATCAAGCATATTTTATAACTTAGGTCATGTTAAATTGCATGTTACATTTTTTTCATCTTAGTCATCTTAAAAAAATGTCAACTTGAAAAAGTTTTATTGAAATGGTTTTCAGTATTTTGTGATGTTCAGGATGGGAAAAATGTCTTGAAAGAAGATTACACATGTTTTGTCTTCATACACTAAAGAAACGCCATAATTTCTTGTAACACATTTCTGTGATTGCTAACTGTTGGAAATTATGTTTAGTCTTTGAATAAGTGCACACACTAAGAAAAAATTTCAGGTCTATTTAAGTAGTTGGTATTATGTATATTATAACAATTCTTCTAGAAAATATAATCTAAAAATGAAATACTGTAATTTTTATCAGATGTTTTTCAGCATTAAGAACTTGAGGTGGCCTTTTGAGTCTTTGAAAGTCAGAAATCACCATTAAGCTTTATGAAATTAATTAACAGGCAAAATAATGTGTGCTTGGGTATACAATTGATTTATCTTAAAATTTTTCTCGCTTTTATTATAAGAGTTTCTAGTTTAAGATACATAAAAGGATTTGTGAGAAGTTTATTTTGTTGACTAGGTTGATAATCTACCTCTTATTGACTGGTTGACTTTTTAAATAGTTCTGAAACATAGGGAAAAGCAGAATGGTTATACCTGGTCTGAAATAATTCAGTACTTAAACTCACTGAACTAGCTGAGGCCTTTACAAAAGGTGATCAAAGGTCTGTAGTCAACTAGCCCTACCCTCTGCTCTACTCCGTCTCCCCTGTTTCTCAGATGCCTGCACCTGCACATAAGTAGAAAAGTGCCCCAGTAAATGTGGAAAACGTTTATGCATTATGTCGTTTTGATCATTCTGCAAGTTCAGTGAAATAGATTCATCTGAAACTAATATTAACCACTAGGATTATTTATAGATCTGTTGAATTTCATATCAATCTGTAATATTTTGTCTTTTGAGCATTTCTTTTTGGATCTCATATTCAGCCAGTGTATACGTTTTCTTTATAGTAACTGTGTGTAATCTACGTCTGATTAGTTTTATATCTTTCCTTCAAACTTCAAATACTTAAATTAAAAGGCAGCTTCTCAGAAGGTGGTTATTTTTTTTCCAAATATACTCCAAAAAATCCTTTAAAAATTAAAGAGCTAGGGAGGGGTACTTCCTCCTTTCACCACTAATTATAAACTTCCTACACTGAAAACAATAAAGTAATTCCCTTTTTATATAATGAAGGTAATAATTGTTCTCCAAATGTGATTTAACAGAAGTGAATGATTGACTTACTCTGTTAATACTGAATTGTTATTTCAGTCAGTGCTAGACGAGATGATGGTGGAACAAACAGATCTTGTGCGTTTGCGAATGGTTAGAATGTCCAATGTGCCAGACACACTTTACATGGTCAATAATGCTGTGCCACAGTGCTGTCACATGATCAGCCACCAGCAGATCAGCAGTAACCAGTCAAGCCCCCCTTCGGTGGTAGCCAATGAAATTCCAGGTAAGGCAGTAACCTTGTTTTAGGCATTTATATTTAAATAAACAATCTGGTCTTTTTGTAATCCCTTTATATATGCTAATTCTCTCCCTATTCCAATATCCAGTATGCATTGTTCTCAAAAAATAAATACAAGCTAAGTTTTTTGGTTTGAATTTTATTTTATAGTACTAGGTATGTACAGAGTTCAGTTTTGCCCAAGGTTTCCCAGCCTTGGCTCTCTTGACAGTCAGGGCTGGATAATTCTATGTTGTGGGACTGTCCTGTCATTGTAGGGTGTTCAGCACTCCTGGCCTGGGCTCACTACATGCCAGTAGCATACGTGCACACTCTCCCATTTATAACCTTTTGGAAACTTACGTTTCTAGATATTGCCAAGTACATGTGGTGGGGGGGAAATTGCCTCCTGTTGAGAATCACTGGTTTAGAGGAATTCAGATGTTTTATCACATAGGGTATTTCTTACAAGACCTGTTGGGAAAGAGAATTATAATGTATACCTTTGAGTCTACATATGCCCCACAAAGATGTGGTTACTGTTGATTTTCTGGAGATCCGGTTTCCCAAGACCTGGTCTGCGAGTTTTATTGCAGCAGACTCTTAGTCTTAAAACTCAGGGAAGCGGCCACAGGTAGAGGTACGGCTATCAGCATCCAAAAACTCCAGGACAGCAGTTAATGTTCACTTTAACCAAAGGCTCTAATGTCATTTTCTAAGGTAGGGAGATCAGCAGTGCAGATGGGGTCAGAAATTTTTTTTTAATTTAGCAAACTGTAGCATTATTGGAAATGGCACCATTCATTTTCTGCTTATAAATGTCTGTTTCAGGTAAGGCTAATAAAAGACATAATGGCAACTTTTAATTGAACACATTTTATTCTGGGACTGATATCTGATTAGTTGTTGCCTTATCAGATATGCCTGTACATGTTATTTAAAGTAACACTGAATAACAGTATGAAGAAAAATATCTCTGTAGCTGATTCGTGCAAATCTTGAAGCTTTCATAATCAACACTCTTTCTATCATCTTAATACTTGAATAGCAACATAATTTAATTTTAGAACTGAATGTCAAAAGCCCAAACGTTCACAATTAAGTATCCTCAGAAAAGTAAGACTTGTCTTTCTGTTGTTTAACTGTTTTCTGTTGTGTAACCCTGTTCTGGTGTCATCCTCATTCTGACTTGCTCACCGTACTCTACCGAAAGGCTCTCTGGCTTCTTGGAGAAGACGTGTGGGCTCCTGTCTTGGCTCTGCCACTTCATTGGTGTGACTTTGGAAAAGCTGTCTACTTTCCTGCACATTAATTTCATTGTCTGCAGAATGGGGATCTCTCATTTCTAGGTTTGTCGTGAAGACTTATGGAAGCACCACAAGTAATATCCTTAGGAGTTGGCCTGACACAAAGCAAGCACTCGATAGATAATAGCTCCCTTTCCCCCCAAAATAATAGTCAGTTTGGCTCACCGTGCTTATGGACTTTGTCCCTTCTTCCCCAGCCCTCTGCTCCAGCCCTGCTCCAGGGTCCCGGCCCAGGTTCCCGCCTCCGACCTCGCTCACTCCCCTAAGGACTTCACACCAGGGCTCAGCGTGGCCTTCCTGTGACGTGCCAGAGAGGAAACATTTTAGGCTTACGGGCTGTGCATTTCTGTCATCGTTCCTCAGCTTTGTTCATCTCTGCTGTTGCAGGCCAGAAGCAAACAGAGAGAGCACCTAAACAGATGGGTGTGGCTGTGTGCCAGCAAAACTTCACTTACAGAGAACAATCAGCAGGCCTGATGTAACCTGTAGGCCACCGTAGTTTGCCAGCCCTTACTTGACACTGCGCTCAGCGCGCCCTTCACCGTATCACAGCTCTGATCCTGTCATTCCGCTGTGCAAGTGACTACCTATTATACTCAAGATACAACTCAGTTCCCTTACTGTGACTTACAGGGGCATTTGTGATCTGCCCCCCCCCCCAAATCTTTCTGACCCTCTGTCTTAATGCTCCTTTTGCTTATATTTTTGAGCCCTAAGTTCTAGGCATGCCAGGTCCTTGTGCCACACTCTCAGTTGCATGTTTTACACGTGCCTGGGCCTTCTGCTCGCATTCTTTGCCTGCCTGCTGTCCCCCCATTCTCCAGGATTGCACTCAGGGTTCTCCTTGTGCAGGAAGCCTTTCCTGTCTGCCTCCAGGCCAGGCGGGGCCCCTGCCTCCAAATCCCTCCCTCATCCTTTGCATGTCTGTCTCCATGACTGTTTGTGGCCCTGGGTACTCTGCCGGGTTATTTGGCTTACTTCACTAAAACCAGAGTTCTTTAAGGACAGGGATTATGTCTTTATTCTGCACACCCTAATATTGAGTCCAATCCCTGGTATATAGGGTGAATACATTTTAAAAACAGAAAATATCCTGAGATTCAGAAGAGAGTGTATGCAAGTAAAACTTTATTTAGGCTGGGAACTAATAACACAGCTCAGGAGCTGTGTGTCATTATCAAGAGCCCTTTGGACGCAGTGAAATTTTAAAACATTAAAAAAATAGAAGTATGTACAGAATAAGTTGCCAGAAACTTAAAATATTATCAAAAATCTATAAGAAGACTGATAGAAAACACACACCTTTTTTCCTTGTGCTTAACAAGTGGTCTTTGTGTAGCTCAGGTATTTGTCTGCAAACATTTTCCTTCTTCCAGTTCCTCGTCTCCTCATTTTGAAAGACATGGTCAGACGTCTGCAGGAGCTCCGGCACACCGAGCAGGTGCAGAGAGCCTACGCGCTGAACTGCGGGGAAGGCGCCACGGTCAGCTACGAAATCCAGATTCGAGTACTGAGGGAGTTTGGTCTGGCCGATGCTGCTGCAGAGCTCTTGCAGGTGGGGCTCTGCATTCAACTGTTTAACGCAGGGAGCCTGGATCAGTACTCAGGCAGAGTTGCAGGCATCGCAGGAGCTCCCACCGCACAGGTCTTCCTCATAGTCCGTGTGCTTTTGGGAGGCAGGGTGGGAGAGGGGACACAGCGTGGGCTCTGCAGTGAGAACAGGGTTTCTGTTATGGCTCTGCTGCTCACCGTCCAGTTAAGTGGAGCAGTCACTTAACTACTCTGAGTACCAGTTTCCTTACATGTCATGGGTTGTGAAGGTAAGAGCTGTGGCACCATGAAGCCACTGTGTCTCTTGTATGTGATAAACATAGAAATGGGGACTACTGACCGTTCCTGGTGTGTGTGCCTAGCAGAGCTGAAAGACGAAACAGGAAAGTCCACCCTGCGCTGTGCTCACTCCCTGGTCTGGCCGCTAGAGTTCAGGTTTTGGCCACCCTCATACTTTTCTTCCAGATGCCCCTCGTTTTCCTCTCCTCCCACTTATTACAGGAAATGTTTTGCATGATAGTTCAAACCCTAAAAGCTCTGGAATCAAGAATTGAGTTTTTTCAACTAGCAGGAAAAACTCATCTCTCGCAATTATTAGGTGCAAAAGCAATGGCACTGGTTTTGCAATGAAGGTAGAATTTGTCAAGTATAGTAGTTCGCCCCTTCCAGAGTGGATGCATTCCAAGACCCGCAGTGGATGCTTGAAACTGTAGATAGTACCAAATGAGCCTTTTATGTTCTGTGTTTTTTCCTGTGCATACAGAGCTATGATAAAGTTTAATTTATAAAATAGGCACAGTAAGAAATTAAAACAGTAATAATAAAATAGAACAAGTATAGCACTATACAGTACTGTAATACAAGTTATGTCTTAAATTATATAAAAGGTTCATTAAGCATTCCCTTAAAATGTTTATAAAAATGATAATCCAGCTTCTCCCCATATAATAGGAAAGGAGTGATGTTTTGTAGTTACTACTTCAGACTGAGAGTTCAGCTCTTAGAAGGCAGGATCCTCAGTTGTGCCTTTTCTTTTTTTTTTTTTTTTTTTTTTTTGGTGTTTATTGGTGATTTTCTTTTCCTTGTTTTTTAATCTTCACCCGAGAATATGTTTGTTGATTTGAGTGAGAGAAAAAGAAACATTGATGTGAGAGACAAACATCAATTTGTTGCCTCCCATTTCCCCCCAGCAGGGATCGAATCTGCAACCTAGGTATGTGCCCTGACCAAGAATCAAACCCGCAGCCTTTTGATGTACGGGGCGATGCTCCAACCAACTGAGCTATCTGACCAGGGCGATGATTTTATTTTCTTGCCAAAGATATTTTTAAATTGTTTTTAATTTATTGACCTTTTTTTTTTTTTTTTTTTTTTTTTTTTAGAAATAGAAACATCAATTTGTTGTTTCATTTATTTATGCAGTCATTGTTTTTTTTTGTTTTTATATTTTATCCTTACCCAAGGACATCTTTGTTTTGCATTGCTTTTAGAGAGAGGGAGGGAGGGAAAGAAACATTGATATGAACAAGAAGCATCTATTAGTTGCCTCCCATACACCCCCAGACTGGGGATCGTAGGTGCCCGGGCCAGGGATATGACCCGTAGCCTAGGTATGTGCCCTGACTGGAAACAATCCCACAACTCTTCAGTGACAGGACAGCGCTCTAGTCAACTGAGCCACACCGACCAGGGCTGTGCATGCATTGTTTGATTGTTGTTTGTGCCCTGACCAGTGATCAAACCCACAATCTTAGCATATTGGGACGATGCTACACCCAACTGAGCTTACCTGGCCAGGGCTCCAAAGACATATTTGACTTAGATTTTATTTTCTGAGCTTTTTTAATTATCACATAATCATACAAGAGACTACTGACCTGCTTGCTAGAATAATCTGTTAAGCAGCTCTTTTTGATAGCTGTATGTAGGCTACAGAGTCTACCCTCTCTCTATTTGTACTATTAAGGTAATTTTTTTTCTTGGAAGCTTCTGGCCTAGAAAACATTCACACCTTTTATTCTTGCCGAATGTGATTTCCTTAGGTCCTCACTTAACTCTTTCAGGCTATGAGTTTTCATCTATGAAATACACTAATCTCTTTTTTTTTCTTTTTAATCTTTCTTAGAATCCTCACAAGTTCTTTCCTGATGAACGTTTTGGGGATGAAAGTCCGCTCTTGACAATGAGACAGTCTGGGAGATGTCGCGTTAACAGTACCCCCGCTGCAGAAACCATGTTTACAGACCTAGACTCTTTTGTGGCCTTCCATCCACCCTTGCCCCCTCCACCACCTCCATACCAGCCCCCAGCTACCCCTATTCATAACCAACTCAAAGCAGGCTGGAAGCAAAGACCTCCCACTCAGCATCCTTCACGTTCATTTTCTTATCCCTGTAATCATTCACTGTTTCACTCGAGAACGGCTTCTAAAGCTGGGCCCCCTCCAGTCTATCTGCCAGGTGTTAAAGCAGCTGCACCTGATTGTACCAACACCACAGGACTGGGGAGACAGACAGTAGCTGCTGCCACCGCCGCCACCGCCTCGGCAACAACAGCACCTGAGAAACAAGCGGTAAGTTAGCACTTCAGAAACTTTCCTAAAATAAAAAGTTTGTGGAATATTAGAAGCAATTCCCTGGCCCTAAGAGCCCTACCGGAACTCAGCAATGCCTAGAACTATTACTGACAAGCTGGAAGCATAGACTTGGGTGGTATGGAAAAGGGACACTCTGGGCGAGTGAGAAAGGACAGAGAAGAGAGGCTGGAGGCGTGTGTGGTGGGCGTAGTCAAGTGCCTGCCTAGTTTTATTTTCCTTTGGGGAGGTGTGGGGTTACTGGACAACACAAGTGGCTATTACCAGTTGTGTAGTGCTCTGTTCAAGCCTTGTCTAGAATCTGTCACTGACTTTTCTTTAGAATCTAGTATTCCACCAGATGCTTGGATGGGACGGGAAACACCCCATCGGGAACAATGGGGCAGAAAACTCCCCATAGGAAACGAGTCCTCATGCCTGTCTTTGCCTCTGGCAAACTGTTCATCAGAGCTCTCATTTGGGAACCAGAGTAGCTAGTAAATTAAGCAAGAATTCTTTGCTCGATTTTGCACTGCTTTAGAGGTTGAATTGGTTTTATATAATACATTTAGGGAAAAAAGTCATGCTTTTAAAGTCTTCTGCTCAGTCACATACTGTCAGTAGCATTCCATATGGAGAGAAAATCCACCTGTATGTGTTCAGAGAACCTTCATTAAAATAGGACTTTCTGGACTCCAAGGACTAGTGTATACTTTGGGTCAAATTGTGACCCTTCTTCGCTTCATGACCCTTCTACCCACTCCCCGTGCTGTGCCTCCCAACCCCCTTCCAAAAAAGAAGAAACAAAGGTTGGTAGTGTTTATAAGCCAAATCCCCATCCTATTGGTCTGGTGTGGTCCTCCGTTCTACAATTACAAAAGTTCTACTACTTTATATTTTACTGTTACTTCTTTTTTTTATTACTATTATTAGTATTGTTCAGTTGCAGCTACTACTTTAAATTTTAAATAAAACTCCCAATAAAGGTAATTTATTGTTATGTTCATTACAGTTTTAATTATAATAATTAGGAATTGGCCCTGGCCGAGTTACACAGTTGGTTGGGACATCATCCCATACACCAAGAGGCTGCAGCTTTGATTCCTGGTCAGGGCATATATCTAGGTTGCAGGTTTGATCCCCATCAGGATGCATGTGGGAGGCAACCAGTCAATCAGTGTTTCTCTCTCACATCAATGTCTTTTTTCTCTTCTCTCTCTCTCTCTCCCCCTCTCTAAAATAAAAAAGCATTTCCTCCCGTGAGGATTAAAAAAAAAGATCTGGCGGGAAAAGAAAGAATTGGAAACAACCTTAATGTTCAACAGTGGGAGAATGGTTAAGTCAGTCATCGACACAGTGGAATATTACACAGTAATTTAAATGTAATCGCAAAGAAAATTTGGTGACAATTTATATATACACTCAATTTTGTGATAATGTGCAAATAAATGCTAACGGGTGGTTGCCATATTTTGCTGTGTATAATGCACACCCACGTTTTTGTGTGTGTTACACCCTGGATTATCATACCCATGGTCTATAATCATCATGTCCATGTATAATGCACATCCTACTTTCTCCTCAAAAATTTAGGCGGAGGAGTCCCCCTTATATATGATAGAATACGGTATCTCGGGGAAGGTTAGGATCGCTGTTATGTTTTGCTTTAGTTTTCTGTATATTTATCTTTCTTAAAAATAAGCGTGTATTTTATAATACGAAAACCAAATCTGTGACCGCCTGTACAAAGGAGCCCTGGGCCGTTGACTTTAACCCTTCTCACTGCTTCTGTTTGCAGTGCACACAGCCTGTGCTGAATGACCTAATGCCGGACATCGCCATGGGTGTGTCCGCACTGTCACTCAAGGACAGGCGGCTTCCAGAACTTGCTGCAGACACAGAATTAAGCCAGTCGGTTTCTGAAGTGGGACCAGGGCCTCCTCAGCATCTGTCATGTATTCCACAGAGGCACACACACACATCTCGAAAGAAACACACACTAGAGCAAAAAGCGGATGCTCGAGAAAATCAGCAGGAATATCCGGATTTCTATGACTTCTCAAATGCTGCTTGCAGACCTTCTACTCCTGCCCCTGGCAGGCGCACCCCCTCCCCCTCACAAGGTGGATATTTTGGTCCTGATTTGTATAGCCACAATAAGGCATCACCAAGTGGCTTAAAGTCAGCCTACCTGCCTGGCCAGACCTCGCCTAAGAAGCAGGAAGAAGCTAGGAGAGAATATCCACTTTCCCCTGATGGGCATCTGCACAAACAAAAGAACGAGCCGATACACCTTGATGTTGAGCAACCTCCGCAGCGGCCAGACTTCCCTTTGGCAGCCCCGGAAAACGCTGGCAGCGGGCCAGCACACGTCAGGGGACGAGCAGCAGTAGAAACTGACTTGACTTTTGGGCTGACTCCTAACAGACCTTCACATTCTGCATGTAACTCTGAAGCACCGGAAGAGAGATCCAGTAGAAGACTAGCAGACAGCGAGTCCCTGGGCCACGGAGCCCAGAGAAATCCAGATGTGGAAAGGGAAGATTCAATAAACAGAGGAAGGAGGTCACCAAGCAAACCAGACTTCCTCTACAAAAAGTCCGCTCTCTGAGCGCAACCTCCAAGTCGTCTGTGCCTGAGATGTGAAACATCCCATTTTATGATGTAACCCAATAACTTAAGAGACCAGTTTATTGATGCCAGCTGATAACTCAGTTTCACATTATTTTATTCTGGGTTTTGTACATACATGTTTATTAGACATGGCATGCTAAGAGGGTTGTTTTGAATGCTGCATTTGTCTATTTTGTGTTTGGATAATTATGTGGAGAAGCATTTTTAAGAGCAAGCAAGCTGGCACTTTTTTTTTCCTCTTTACAAATGATGGAATTTTTTTGCACTTGTACATTTATTTTGTCTGTATTGATTTTATATCAGTATGTTAACTTTATTGCCACATTTAAAGGACTGTATTTTCATACTTTTTGCATTTTAGCATTCATCTACCAATTTCCACGTGCATTGGATTGCACACTAAGATGTATTTTCTTATGAAATAGTTCTGTTTATTTTTTAATTATAGAAATCCCAAAGAACAGCACATCAAAATGCTCCTCTCTTCTGAATAATTGTTTTGGTTCGGAAATCTTCCTGCTCAGTCTCTTAAATACGGTCTTTCTTTTTTAGTAAGTCTTGGGAGCTGGTCTTTCCTCCAGTGGGTGTCCAATCAGGATCCTGGAGTTTTCTGGTTCTGTAGAGAACAGAAAGGAGAAAAGCCTTGTACCCAGGCTGAAAAGCTCACTGTGTTCACAGTGTGGACGCTGTCAGACCCGCCGCAGGTTATGGCCGTATGGATTAGAGAATCACCAGATGGGAGTCTATAAAGAGATCAGATTTTTCTTTATGATCAGAATCCTAAAGCGTGGAGATAGTGAAGTAACTTAAGGTTTGCACTGCAGGATTTCTGGTTCTGAGCGTCGTCAGCTCTCCAGCTGAGATGGGGGAGTGACTGCTTGCTGCCTTCAGTTGTCTTGCTCTCTATGGGGAGGAAAAAACAAAAACACAAACAAAAGGGCTTCAGTCTTTCGGATGTCATTTGGTGTTTGTAAGCATATGTTTTCTTATAAATGTTTTTTAAAGTGTGTCTGAATTTTGGTGTCCTACAAAAAGTTGTATAACGCATAATGCTTTGTCACCAAAAGAGAAAACTTTTTTTTTTTTTTTTTCTCCAGTGAAACACTACATGTCCTACTTGAACTCCATTCGGGACGCTGGTTTGGGATTTTTCTGAACCACTGAGCACATGGGACCTTTTAAGGTCCTCTCCCTTGGAAGGGCAATGTGTGAGCTAAGGACTTTTTTTTACTCTCCAATGTAAATATATTAGTATTTGAGTTTTTAAATCACTTGAGCATTATTTGAGCTTTCACTTTGTATTTTTACAGACACATACACACACAGCTGTAGCACTTAGAAGAAAAGAGACTTTCTGCACATTCCCTCATGTGAAGGATGCTTGGGAGCCTCTTTTCTGTGTATGTGTGTATATAGATACATATATATAAAAACCATGAATCACTGACACTCTTAAAACTATGCAGGGCTAGGGAGCCTTTACAAGCTACCATACAAATTAATTACATGCACTTTTAAGTCAATAGGTTTTTCTTGGGTATCAAAAACTTTAATTTCTCCCAAAACTGTAGATTCTCTTACAGTCTTTTCGTACTTTACCCTGTGGATATACACTCAGGAATAATCGGACATTTTAAAAAATCCTAACAGTAGATCGCCTCAAAGATGGGAAACACATCAGTGTGTCTGTACACTGGCGCGCTGCTGCTGCCTCGCGCTCCGCTGCCCAATTCGCTAGCTGCCGCTAGGGCGTCCATCCCCGCTGGTGAGGCTACACACTGAGTACCAGAGTCAACACTAACCTCCTGTAAGGTCCGCTGTGCATCGCCTTTGAGGCTCCCTTTTTTAAAGATAGAAAAACACAGGACTCTGTTGTCATTTTTAGGAGGTTTGACCTTTACATGATGGTGTCTTTTGAAGCCAATCACAGTCTGTCCCTCAGAAACAGAAATTGTTAATTCCATTCTGTTTCTCAATGTGTGTTTATAATACCTGTGTTGACATGAATTATTTTGATGTAGTTTTAAATGTTCTGATTCAGACTGTACCGTGCTGGTAGTGCAGATGAGGGTGGAAAAAAAAACTATTACGGACCTTTTAAAAAATACATTAGATAAGAGCTATTGATGCCACACATTCATTTTTCTGGAAGTTTATTAAATATTCTTTAATATCTCTAATTATAAAAACAAGTGGCCACTGTTCATAATTTTGTTCAATTTATGAAGTTTGCTTTTAATAGTTTAGCTTACCCAGCTAAATTGTGTGTATAAAGAGGAACTTGCTTTACTAAGGAATTGTGGACCGATGTGACTTGCAAAAGAAGGTAAACAGATGTGATTGTGTGTGTTCGGGTAGGTGGTGGTAGACTTTCAGTGTATCTGGTGAAGCATGGTTAATAGGGTAGGTTGAATAGCTCTGTGCCTCTAGTTTTTACCCCCATCTATTCAATCTTTTTTTAATGCTTACTAAGCATTAAAACATTTTAATTTTGTGCTAAGATAAATGTGAAGTCTGAGTAGGGTTGCTCTCAGAAAAAAAAAGTATATATAAAATAAAATTTGGCCACAGGACCTGGCATTTTGCTCGGTGTAGAAATTTCCTGAGAATCGTATCTCAGAACCCAAGATCTTATCTTGAGGCCCTGGACAATCAGGCCGTCAGACAATCGCCACCTTGGGTGCCCACCTTGTTGAGGTTAGAGAACTACCATTTAGATCCTGGATCACAAAGGGATCGATGTTGCTTCAAGATTCTGTTGGTCGTCTTATATATTGTAGCTTTGTGATTTTGATGAATAATTTGAGTTCAAAGTCACCTGTGACTCCTAAGGGGAAATAGTAGCATGAAAGGCAGAAATTATTCCTGTAAAATAGTTGTATGCGTTTGCCACATGCCACACCCTTTCTCCTGTGCCCCGTCAGCTTCCTCCAAGCACATGTCCCTGGGCCCCGTAAGCTCTCCTGTCACTTTGATAACCAGTTAGGTTTTAAGGATTTTTAACGAGGTCCTTTTATTTTAGTCTTTTTGTAGAAGTCTCTGAAACTTGACCTAATTCTTGTTTTTGCTTCCTCAAAATCTCTTTTTTTTTTTTTTTTTTATAATTGCCGTCCTATATTAGGTTTTCTTTTGTTCAAATTCTAGCAACGGGCAGTACTTGTCCCTTCCGATCATGGCGATGACGTGCAGTGTGAGGGGAACGGCATGTGCAGCAGCAAGGCCTGCACGTGCCAGTCTCCAGAGGAGAAGGGTTGACGTTTCTCAGTCCCTCTCAGCAAAATACATTTTTTTGTAATGTTTAATACACTTAAATGGGAAAATGTGTTTCATGAAACACTTGTAAGATACTGGTGTAGCAGTTGTAAGGCATTCTTGTTTTTATCTTAGGACTGAACTCAGAGGGAAATGTGTATTGGACTTCTTAAAAATTAATTTGATTGACTTTCAACTTTCTATTGGAAGTTACTATTAAAGCAGCAGTGATGGGTGCTATTCCCGATTCTGCAATGGTTTACTTTGTCTACTAAGTAATTTCAAACCTCATTACAGATCCTTACTGAGTTACCCATCAAACACTAAAAAAGTATTTTATTTTACTGTTTTCCATTAACACTGTTGTATCAACATTTTAGGAATATTCAGTTGTCTTTTTGTCTGATAAATTGCAATAGCTGTTACGTAATTGTTGTATTGGCAAGTCTTGATTTTTTTTTCCCCCTTTAGAACATTCTCAGACCGTGTGTCAATCTTCCATATTCTGACTATTATAATGCTGTGGCCGTTTCTATGGAAAGATTACTTGCAAGTGTGTGTCTTGAAAATAACCTCTTGTGTTTGTGTGTTTATGTGGGTTCTAAGAGAAGAGATAAGCTCTGGAAGCTTCGTCATGTCCCTGCACATGACTGTGTTCCAGGGGCAGGTGGCCTGGAACCCTGCTCTTCGGTGGGGTGGCTGAAAGGTAAAGGTTCCTGAACTCCACTTGGTGTTTTTGTGCCACATCTGTACTTCACAGAAGTGGTCCTACTCTAACACATCATTTCTTGTGGTTGTGCTGTTACCAGTATAAAGTCAAGTGCCTTCAATGCAAAAGGCTCAGAAATTTTTCTTAAAACTGATTTCATGTCCTATGCAAGTGTTTTCTACAACCTGCATAACCAGTACTTTGTAAAACTTGTTTACGCTTCAATTGTACATAGTGTTTTTTAAGGAAATATATAGTATTTTTATTTAGGTACCTCCAAACTTGAATTTGTCTGTGTGAAGCATTGTAAAACGATACATTTCTCTTTTGAGTATCATTACAGTTGTACAAAGGTTTTCACTGGTTCTATTTTTCTACTGTTACTGATAAGCATGTAACACTGACTTTATCCTACATATAGTTGGCATTTCAAATAAATGGCTTGTATAGAACCTGCTGAGTTGGATACAGTCTGTTATAGCAGTGTAGCTTGCAGTCTTCAGTTGCAGAAGCAATTGTACCCTTCTAGGGTAGAGTTGTGAGGTTTTCTACGTGAACTTCCCATTTCTAGAATTTGTCTTTCAGAGACCTTTTTTTTTAAATTGTGGTTTTCTTAGAAATACATTTTCATTGGAATCAAGGTCATTTTCATTTTATTTTCTACTTTTTCATCGGGGCATTTCTGAAAGGTTTTATTTTATAAATTTGAGCAAAAAGTTATTTGTACAGGGGTCTCCAGAGGAAGCTCAACATTCCACCCATGTGGATCCAGCATCTGGAATGTGCCTGGTGCTGGGGTCAGTCAGAGCCCCAGGAGAACCCTGAGGTTCATGGGCCTCCAGCGGTCAGAACTGTCTTTGGTCCTGAGCTTTTTTCCTTTTTAAACTCTGGCTTACTAGTATTTTTCAACTTGAAAGGGAAGTTGAGTTGTGACCTTCTGTCTACGTTTCTGGAAAAACAAAACATGCAAAATAGTCCTCTAATTTCCACATTTTAATTGTTTTAAAATAGCTGTTTAAATTTATTTTAAAATTTATTTTAATCATTTTACTAAGTTCCTTCATGCCTCACTAAAGCAATTCTTTATATTCTGTGACCATCTTAGGTTTAGCTATGGAGTATCAAGATAAAACCTAAGGTTTTTGTGAGTGAGCATATAAAAATCTAAAGAGAATTAAGTCCACTTTCCTGTCTTTCCTTGAGGATCACCCTGGAAAAGGTAGTTCGGGCTGGCTTCCCTTGCCAGCCTAGGGAAGGCCCCATCATTTCATCTCGTGCACTAGGGAGTATTAGAGTCCACTCTTGGCAGAGACAAAAAGCAGACAGGATACCTTTTCTCAGATACTTTAAAGTGTAGCTGGGAAAGACTTTTGTCCTAGAAACAATCAGAATAGTACATAAGCAGTAGGAGGCTCATGGCTGAAAGGAACACCAGCTTGACATGGCCCAGGAATGAATGCAAGGAGAAATATGCTGGTTTCAGTACTCTTTTTTTTCTTTAATCCTTCGTTAATGACATACTACTTTTAGTGCCACTGTACAAATGAGAAAAGTGAAGCAAGGAGTTCTTGAGTAACTCGTCCAAGGTCATTCCGCTAGCAAGTTGGCTGAGCCTGGGCTCAAACCCTGACAGTGGTGGCCCAGGCCGAGGAGACACAATGTGCAGGGACTGGGGGAGGTGCACTTTTGGCGTCCACTTGTTCAGCAAACATTCATTCATCAAGTAAGCAACCTCTGCCTGCCAGACATTGCTAGGTCCTGAGGTGACAGTGACAGTAATGAACAAGTGCTGCCCGTAACAATTTTAGGGTCATGGGGAGGAAAAGACATTGAATAATTACAGAGGTACTGTCCAGTGGCTTGGGGACAAATGAGGTATGAGAATGGCTTTGGCCCAGTGCCAAATGCTGGATGCCCACTCAGACCAAGGCTTGCGTCTGGAAGCTGCTTTGAGGTGACCCGACTCGGAGGCAGCCCCGTTGGCTCCTGGGAGCTCTGCTGGGGTGGTGTCCTGCACTTCCCACGTCCCCCAGAGCATACTTGTCTTCCACAGGGAGCTGCACCAGGCCACTGCCGAGGTCCAGCAGGCGCTTGGATTGCGCTCCCTTTTGTCACGTTGCCCAGGGGAGCTTGGGGGAGCTGGGAGAGCTGCAGCTTCCCTGGCAGTGATTACATAAGCCTGCGTTTTCAGGTATGTAAGCCCTTCATTCACCTGAGCAGAACTCACAGGGGTGATGACCGCAAGTCTGAACAACATCCAAGGAAGCAAGAGTTTGGGGAAGGCCACAGATGGGCCTTTGCATTGGCTTTTTTCCCCTTTGTTTTCATTTACTTTGAAATAATGGCTACCACGTAGGTGTGCTGCATCTTTTCCTTGGACTAGGCTCCTAGCCAGCTCGCTTTCCTGCCCCTGAACAGATTGAGATCACTCACAACCCAAGCCCATTTCTTCGTTCTCCTTGTTCATCTAGGTCCCAAAAGGATTACAGAATCTCCCTCCCAGGTGTTATAAATCCAAATACCTCCGGTCAGGCCACATCTTCTGAACCAGCAAAAGGAATGAACTAGTCTCCCACTTGAACAGGGCCCCAGGGCAGTGGCCACTGCTGGGACACATACTCTTCACGGTAACGCAAAGGGGGTGCTTGTGCGCATTTGAATGACTACAATCTGAAAAGCCACTATTTTGAATTGGTTTTATTTAATTTTACAGAAACCTGATTGGAGTTTAGTATGTAATTATAAGTCCAGTAACAATTCTACAAAAATGGACATACAATGCCAGAATTCCTTAAAAGCAACTAATACCATATTCTTCTTTTGCATAAAACATGCATTAACTGCCACATGTTGGCCAAAATCAGTCTCTACAAGAAGAGACAGTCCAATACAGTCAATAATAAAACTAGTTGTGAACAAAAGGTAAAAAAAGAGGTTTTCTGGTTAATGGAAAAGAAGGAACAGTACCTTTCATAAAACAAGCCCTTCAGCACTGGGCGATCTGTACTGCTGTGGCACAGTAGTGTGTCACCTCTGAGACCCAGTCCTGACCTGTCATAAGAAGGAAATTTCTGGTAGTTAAACATTTGAGAAAATACAAACTTTCAGGCCACAAAGTGGTGCAACCTTGCAGATGGGGTGCAGAAATCTGGACTTGGAAGAGTTCCCAAGCTGGGGACTGCCAACAACGTCAAAGACGCCCTGACCTTTCCAACCTAGCCCGTTGACCCCCCCTCTACAAGGCCAGCTCAGGGCCTGCAAGCATCTCCTGTGGCCATGAGACCTTCCAGCCCCACACCGCTTTTCATGAGGATCTGCAATTCGGGACGTGTGATGCAGAAAAAGATGGGACAGACCATTTCTCTGAGGCCTTGACTTTCTGTAATTCTCATTCATCTTGTTCAAGGATCAGTGGGTACTCATCTAAGTGGCTGCTGAACACACACACGAGTATTAATAAACACTTGTGACCCCAGAGCCTGAAATACGTGTAGTCACATACTTCAAAGTATATCATCTATTCCAGGAAGGACCTCATCCCTCCAGAGAGAGAGCAACTGTCTGTCAAAAGGTGTTTTCCACACAGACTGAGGGGCTTTAGAGATTTCACACCAACTGAAAGGACTTCCCTTCAAACATGGGGTTTTATACAACATTCCATGAGGGTCTTCAAAAGATCTTGTAGTCATTAGGGAACCAGCTATGGGCATTAACACTTATATACATAAAGCTCATCATTCGCGCAGCCTAGGGTCTTGTTTGGAATCTTCCACCCATCCTGCCTGCCTCTTCCTAAACAGGGCACGCACTGCCATGCTCGCTACCAGTAAGCTAAGCCAGTATCTTGTTCTTCAGCACAATTTAAAGGGAAAAATAATTTATGGGGGTTCTAATAACATTTTCTTAACAGAACAGTATCAAAATAGGTTTGTTCTTAATATATGCTTATGAATATCCCTGATAATATAAAGAAATCCAGAGGACTTTGTAAACCACCAAGGTTTCACAGGGTAGTGCCGGTCTAGTTTCTAGGCAGAGAAGAGCGCGGCTGTGCAGGCACGTTTTCTCAGGAAGCCCTGTGAGCACTACAGTACTGGATTCGCATATGCTAGTGCCAGTAGAACTGTGAATGAAACGGTCACTTTAAATTTACTAGTAAAATTCGTATCAAAGGTGGGCTTCCTCAATCCTGCCGTCAGCCAGTCTCCTTGCCTGTAACAGACATCCAGGCCACAGAACCATCAGTCCTGGCTACTCCAGAGGTTGGGCCCAGAGGAAACAAGTTTCAAGATCCCTTCTAAGCCGTGACCACACCTCAGAAGGGAGGCGTGTGAGAGAAGGAGAAGATCAGGCTTGAGGAAGCTTTGACCCAAGGCACCACGATCATTGGGGTGAGGGGGACCTGGAGAGGTTCTCGCTGACAGGAAGATGCCCCCAAAGCAGGTCCTGGAAGACAACAGCCCTGCGGCAGAGTAGACACATTTGGGAGTTAAACACCAAAAAATTAGAAAAGAAACTAGTTTACTTTCTCAAAACCAAATCAAACTTCTTAAAACTTATAAGCAAATAACCCTGGGTAGACTGGGGGCGTGGTGGGGGCTGAAGTCTGTGGAATGAGTTGCTTTTAGCTGAGTCAGAAGAATGCTGGTTGTGAAATCAGCATAAACATTGTGGCTACGGCAGTTGAGGAGAGCGAGGGAAGCTCAAGGTCAGAGGCGGCAGCCTCTCCAAAGAGAGGACGGGGAGAGGAGCAAATGTGGAATAGGCCTCTTTTATTCCTGGAACAGCAAGTGGCATGGTCGCCGGCCTGGACGAGAAGACGCCACACTCCGCTCTAGCTGCAATAGTACTGCATGCCATCCACTCTTCTTCTCTTTTTTGACTGAAATTCTTCAAAGAACTGCTGGATGTCCTCTCTCTTTACAACCTGTTGATGAAAAGCAAAGATTAGGAAAAGAACTACATCACTAAATAGCAACAACCAGTCATAAAGTTCACAAACAAGTCAACACTGCTGATATGAATGATTTTAATGGGTGATTGATTACACTATCTCCACTTTACAGAGCTCATCCAGGCTCCGAGAGGTTGACCTGCTCAGGGCCCCACAGCCAGGCAGAATAGCATGTGGCGCCAACCACAGGTTCCACCACTTTGCTTGGTTTCTTCACACAAAATCAGATAAAAGCAGCACCTATGTGACAGGGTCCTTTGAAGAGCAGATGAGATATAATGCCTATAGAACATTCTTGGCACACACTAAGTTCTCAAGACATGTTAGCAAGAAGAGAACCCTGACCAGTGTGGCCCAGCGGGCTGGGTGTCGTCCCGCAAACCAAAAGGTCTCCTGCGCAGGGCACATGCCTGGGTCATGGGCCAGGTCCCCGGTTGGGGGGGTGTGAGAAGCAACCGATCTGTTTTCTCCCTCTCCTTCTCCCTCCCTTCTCCTCTCTCTTTTCTAAAAAAGTGTCAGCCAGCACAAAAACTGAGAACCCAAAAGGTGCCCTAGACCACTGCTCTCCCCCTTTCCAAAGCTGCCTTTTGGGAAAGTCCTTCAGCTCCTGTGCGCGCGCGCACACTCTCTTTCTCCCTCTCTCTCTCTCTCAGACACACACACTACACACACCCATTTTGTTTTGAGATCTGTGCTTGCTTCTTTCCTCAAAAAAAGGAACCTGAAATTAAGAGTCCAAAATTAAAGATGCTTGTATATAAACAAAAACAAAAAAATAATAATTGGCAAAAAATACAGAAGCGCTACTCTTAATAAATGGATATTCATTTTATGTGATAAAAATGAGAAATTTATCTTCCATTTTATTGGAAAAAGGATTGGAGCATGATACAAAGCTGTTTACAATATAAGCAAAATAAAATATTAAAAATAAGAAAGACAAAGGGAAAATACAGATGAAAAGTAAACTGGGATAACCCAGGAGTCCGTCCCTGCGCACCCCAAGAGCCAGCCATGCCAGCGATCCAGTGACCTAAAGCCGTCTGAGGGCCATCACAAGAGATGGGTTTGTTAATTACTCTTTAATTATAAAGGTAATGCGTGTTTATTGTTATGAAGAAATTAAGGTGGGGCAGGTAAGGGAGAGGAAGTAGTGAATGCCTGTGAGCGGGAGGGAGCAAGGTAAGGAGGACAATTGTGAATAAAATGAGAAGCTCCCTTTCTCACTCCCCACGGGGAAGTGCTGCTAACATATGCAAATAGCATCCTAACTTGAAGAACTTTCTTGAGGTAAGATAAGACACTTACTTATCTCTAAATGAAAGAACCTAACATTTTGCCAGTACTTTACCATAGACCAGTAGCTGATATGCCAGCTTCACAAGCACTAAGAGTAGAACTGCTGGCCTGGTTGGCAGTGAGGAATTAGAACCCCCAAGAGATTCAAGGTCTGGATGGCTAACACGCTCCGAAATACCTGAGGCCAAAGCTGTGAAGTACCTCTTAGCTAAATGGCTTGGAAATTTATACCTACAAAATGCTAGTAAATAGGATACCTGGGAGTTCCAATAGGAAGGACTTATCCTTACGTTGGATCACAAACATTCAGCACTGAAGAGCAATAAAAGGAAAACATTTCTCCTGCAAGAAAATTGCAGGAGGACACCTAAAAGCACACAAACTAGAGTGTGCAATTTTTAGTTTCTAGACGTCTTCAAATGGTCACAGCTAATGTGCACAATAGAAATGTTACAGAAAAAATTCTTGGGTTCAATAATAAATCAATTGATTGACTTGTCTCAGAAAATCTGTGGTTTCTAAGGGTTTTTTATAACAGACACAAACATTAAATAGAGGCAGTCTAGAAGTTATTTAGCATTATCTCCTGTGGACAAATAAAATCAAAATAGATGTCTTACATCAACTTAAGGATTTTGTTTGGTAAAGATCCAGTTAGTAATGTCACAGAACAAATAACATAAAATAATATTTTCTTTTGGGATAAGATTTTAACTGTGTATTCTTGAATTGCTTTTACAATAAACCAATTTTTATAATCTTTAAATTAATCAGCTTTTTACATTTGTGTTCTTTTCAATTAGGGCTTCTAAGATCTACTTACAGTTGATGGAGCACGTTGATTTAGAGTTTGAGATTTCCTAAAGCACTATTTGCTAAAATAACTATTTTCTAAATGTAATGCCTTTATTAAAAAAGAACAAAGGAAGTGACTTTTATAGACAAATAATGTTGATGCATTCTTTATGGAACCTAGGCAGAAACACTGAAAATAACAGTAATTGTGTAATTCATAATTCATACCAATCAGTGTTGAAACTCAAACTGTGCAAAGTGGGAGCCAATCAGTATCCAGTGATTAACAACTTCATAGCTTTTGCACATCTGAGAAATGAGTGCTCAGATGAATTTTATTTTCCACCACCATGTTTTTATAAGAATTGTGGGTGTGCCTATCTTAACAATAGTTTTCTGTATTTTGAAAAAATGTTCTCCACATTTTAAATGTTTTATTTTAGAGAATTCTTTAATGCACACTTGTCAAATATATATATATATAGTACCAATGTTACCTTTTTTGTTTTAGATGTAAGAGCATGCTCATCATATGTTAGGTACTTACATAAATTGTTACATTATTTTAAATGTAAGTCCTTTTAAATCATCACATCAGATTTAAAAATTCTTAGGAAGACTCATCAAGAGCTACTCTAGTGATAACAAAGTAGTGATCTGTATGTTGATACATGTGAAGACTTTGAATAAAACTTTCAAATGTGAATGGGAAAGGACAACATACCTTTTTTCTTTTATGTGATTTTAAGTGTGTATGTGTAAAATAAAATTAATAAAGGGCACTGTGACCACAAACCGCACGAGAGCAGAGGCTCACCGCTGAGCCAAGAGTCTGTGGCTTGACACGTCTGAAAGACTTCCAGTGTCCGCTATCGGTGCAGTTTAAAACAGTTGACCATTCCTATTCTTAGTTCTAGCAAGAGTAGCATGAGTCTCCATTAACCAGAGGAGCCTTTGCAACAGAAATAAGAATAACTCTGTAAAACTCAATTATGACACAGAAAACCATTTTTCATGCTACAGTATGCAAAGTCGGTTCTCCAATTCTTCCCAATTTTATATATTGAAAGATCAACATGAATGGTGTTACCGAAATTCAATATCTGAAAAAGGAATAAATGAAATTACTAAGCAGAAAAAAGACTGACTCTAGTTTAGAACTGTTGGGGAGCAGGAAGACACTTTTAGTGACAGTGAAGAACACACTCAGAGAAACGAGAAACTATTTAAGAGAAGGTTCTTTTACCTTCTGAGTTTACTATTCATTTTGCAGAAAGGCTGTGACCCTGTCCAAAAATCTAGGCAACTACAAGTTCTCCTCACATTTATGAAAAGGAAAACGACCTAAAGTAGGCCAGCAGATACTTCTCCCAAGAGTGTCCACCAGACCCATGTCTGACTGGGTTTGCGTGTCTGGCTATAACACAGTAAAGCATATACTGTCCATGAGGATAAACCTTAGGCCATGAAAAGATAAGTTAAATTCTGTTTTTTATCTGCCTTAGGAAGACAGAAAACTATTATAGGAAAAATTCATCACAAACACATGAAGAGTAAAGGGCTAGAAGTACTTATAAATTCACCTGGGACACCACTTAAAACACTGAACATGGCAGAGTCAGTGTCCTTGTTATGAGTATATAGATTTTCTTGCTGGCAAGAGAAATGTTTTAGCCCCTAATCATAAAGTTCTTTTACTTTATAGAACCCAGAATCCCCAAAATGGGGCCTGGCTTTAAATGTGTCCTGCCTGGTCAGCTTCCTTTCCTCTTCCACAAGGATCCTTACTTGGAGGTCAGGCCGGCAGAACTGGCGAGGCTGATCTAGTGGGGCCCCCTCCTAAGCTGCAGCCACTCTTTCCAGGTCCCGCGTGACTGCCCCGCCCGCCTTCCTCCAGGACCAGGGCTGGGAAGGACTCTGAATGGGGCTGGGTGTTTTACCCCCTCTTATGGATTTCCGTTAGCCTTGCCTACATTAAACTCTCAAGTATCCAGTTGAAGATGCACATTTTTTTTTAACAAAGAAAATAAAGTTTATTCAAAACATACAAGGCTATGATTAAAATTCTTTAACTCAACTTACTGTTCCTTCATCAGCAAATCGCTTGAGATAGTCTTTCAGTTCAGTCTTCAAGTCATTATATTCTAAATCAAAACAACAAAATAGATAAGTCATTTGCTTTTAGAAACAAAATATTCCTTTACCACTGACTTTTAAGTATATAGTTTAAATTTTAGTTAATAGATTAATTTTTTTAGTTCATAGTTTCAATTTTTTTTAATGAAACCTGCAAAGGAATTTTTCCCAGTTTCTCCCAAATTCCTTCACTTTGTTATCAAAAATGGTATTTTTTCTTGTTAAAAAAAATTTCAAAAACCAGAGAAAACCTCACTCCAAAAAAGATTAGCTAAGGACTTTTAAAAAGGTTAAAGGCAAAAGGAAATTAATCAAATAATTACAAATAAAGGATAGAAACGATCAATGCCATAAAAGGGGCACACAGGTGGTGGCATCCCCAAAGAAACCGGCTGGGACAGAAGTCACTGAAATGAGTTGGGTGTGTGGGGGCAGGGGGACAGTGTGAAAGCCTGCAGTTAAGAGTGTGGGGGTATTTTTCCCTCTAGTGGTTTGCTGTGAACCACTGAAGCAACCTCAAGAACCGTCAAAAGATGACATGTAATACTCAATGAAAACTATTTTTCATTGGATGAAAAAATTCATTCTCTAATATTCTTTATGCAAACACCTACCTTTAATCAAAAAATAGCACATGCTGTGGTTTCTCAAGCATGTAATTTTTCTAGCATATAACTGATTCAATAGTAATAGCAACTAAATACCCAGCAACATTATCCTTAAGCAAGTATAGCTGAGGTCTCCTATATAATTCCAAATTTAAACTTCCTTTGTATTAAATTAAAACAACAGGTATTAGATGCCCTCCATATATATATATATACTTTTTTTTTTTTAATAGCAAAGGAAACTTTTCAAGTTCATGATTTTCACACTCAAACAGTATTCACCACAAATAAGTTCCACTTGCTGGACTCTGTTCATGCTGTTAAGGGTGTCCATCAGAGGGTCTGTTCTGTCAGCTGCCTGGTCAACCTTGCCCTTGTTTTCATAAGCCAGAACTGTGTCACATTCATCTGTCAGGAACAGGACATCAAGATCGCCATACATTTTCTTTAAAAAAATAAAACCAGTTTCCCCATTAGAACAGCATATTATCTCAGAAAGTCAACCTCGTGAGAATCACCAAAATTTTATTTTAGATTAACTGCAAAAAAACCTGAGCCTTTTACCAGAATTGCTTGAGTGATTTATTGTTTTTGCCCAAGTCTCTTTTAGAAGTCTTCTGACTTCCTAGTAGATATTGTGTAGTCTAAGAGATCTTTACTTAAAAACCAATGACTTACTGTAACTCTCAAGCAATTTGTGTTTTCAAGCAATTCTACAATATAAAAAAGCTAAGAATTGCTATTTTTCCACTAAAATGAAGATAAGTAAATAAAAATAATGCATAATTCATTTCTTCCACAAGCATTTAGACTGCAAATAACCATTTCATAAATTTGCTTAATACAAAATTTTTAAACTTCTCTACACTCCTAACATCAATTTCATACATATATTTTTCAGATGTTCTTATTTTAGGCATCAGTCCACAAAACACACTAACAGTAAATCTGATCAGGTACTCACCACACAGTCTTTGCAGGTACATAACTTGCTCCGCCAGTTCAGGGGCCAATAGGTGGCAGTGTCTGTCTTTATAAAATGCTTCGCTTTAAGCTCCTGAAGTTTGCAGCCAGGTTGTGATTCTGTGTTCAGACACTGATTCTTAAACACTGTCTGAAATAAAATTAGGTTTTGAAGTGTGTTTTTTAACCTATCATAGTTTTCGTAGTTTATATTTGTAGGAGGATTTCTTTATAATTATAAAGTGTATAATTGAAATCCAAGACTATGCAGTTTAAAGAATTTTGCTTAAATTTTACTTCTTTTATGGCTCCTACTTCATTACCTGGAGGTCAGGTTCAGAACTAGAGCTGGCACATGGTTCATTTGTCTGCTCTGTTTTAACTTCCTTGACAGCATCCTTGGCATGTTCTAGAACATCCTCTTTAAGGACGTTCTCCTGATGATCTCCATTTTCAGGCTTGGTAACGTCCTGATCACCTATTCCATCGACATTAAGAGCCAACCCATCATCCTCAGCAGACGGTTTGGTTACTGTAGGTTCCATGAAAAAAACAAAAACAAAAACACATACGCATATCCACAGACCTATTAGGCAAGGAAATCACGCCACCTGATTAAAAAATATTTCAGCCCTGGCTGGTGTGGCTCAGTGGATTGAGTGCCAGCCTGCAAATCAAAGGGTCGCCAGTTGGACTCCCAGTCAGAGCACATGCCTGGGTTACGGGCCAGGTCCCCAGCTGGGGGTGTGATGTATCTCTCACACGATGTTTCTATCCCTCCTTTTCTCCCTCCCTTCCCCTCTCTCTAAACAATAAGTAAATAAAACCTTTAGAAATACATATTTCAAAATCTGGAAAAGGAGTGTCAATCTTAAATCTCTGGAATAATGAAAAACATCAATTTTTTTTTAAGTTATATCTGCCAATCCAAAGAGTTCAAATAATTAAACAGCTCATTTAAAAATAGAATCACTACTTAAGGACTTTATATGTAAAGAGGAAAGAAAATTACAACAGATGCTAAAGAGAGAAAGGATAGCTCTAGAAGCAACAGGCAGTAGGAAGAATTTAACTGCAAATACAAGTAACAGGGTAGTTTTGAAGAAATAACAATTTTTCTTTTTTAAAATTATTTATTTATTTATTTATTTATTTATTTATTTATTTGCGAGACAGAGAGACAGACACCGATTTGTTCTTCGGCTTACGTATGCATTCATCGGTTGATTCTTGTATGTGTCCTGACTTGAGGATAAAACCTGCAACCCTGGTATATTGGCACAATGCTCTAACCAACTGAACTACATAGCCAGGGTCCCACCAGCTTTTCTTCATGAGGAAGAAACAAAAGAGGATGGGTTTGGAGGCAGAAATACTGTGAAGGAGCTCAAGGTACATTGTGGCATTTCAATCTAATAGATGAAGCCAACTGCTGACAAGGAAATGAAGTGGTAGGAGGAACCAATTAAGAAAACCCAATGAATGAGGAATATATGCAGGTCCAGTGGAAAGTGAGGGCTAAAACTGGGAAGGGTATGAACAGAAAGAGGGAGCACCAAGTTTAACAACTTTTGGAACAATCGAAGTGGTGTAGGATGAGCTCTTAGGCATGCCTATGCTGTTTGAGGTTTATAGGTGAAATGTTCCCTAAGGGTGAGAAGAGCAAGAAATTGAGAGGCCAGAGCAGCAGACACTATCAGTAACTGCCACTTAAAAAATTTAATAGACCTGGTTCCTGTGGTTCAGTAGGTTGAGCACCAGTCTGTAAACCAAAAGGTTGCCAGTTCAATTCCCAGTCAGGGCATGTGCCTGGGTTGCAGGCCAGGTACCTAGTTGGGGATGTGCGAGAGGCAACTGATTGATGTATCTCTCCTCACACTGATGTTTCTATCGATGTTTCTCTCCCTCTCTCCCTCCCTTCCTGTCTCTCTAAATAAAATCTTCAAAAAAAAAATTCCAAACTGAACATACAAATTTCACAAGAACGAGTTTGTGGCACACCAACTCCACAGAGACACCTACCTGCCAACTGTGCAGCATAAGCCCACAAGAAAGAGCAGCGTTTCATACAGGCCTGGCACACCATCTCTTGGAAGTCGCCACTCTCAGGAGGAACGGCACCAAGATGCTGCGAATTCAGAAAACTGAGTTACTTTCCTTGTGACCTCCAAGTTGTCCAAAATGTCTGTTATTTTATAAACAAATATTGCAAAATACACTGATATATTTATTGTATATTTTTAGAAGAGTAACTATAATGTAAAATTTAACACAATTCAAAAAGAAAAGACCCTTCCTGCTTTTGCAAAGACAATGGCTTTAAAAGGGAAGGGCTTTCCTTACCCTTCCATGGAACCAGTCTTCACAGACCACACACTGGATCATCTCATCTGGAACCTAATATGGAAAAGCAGTTTGTGTGTTAATGATTACACCGAATTCTGGGACATGGAAGTCAATCTGGCACACAGGACGATTAGATATTAACTAATTCTCTACGAAATTTGTGAGACCACTGCCCATGGAGATATCCCAGGAGCCAGGGAAAGGCAGCATATCAAGGGACAAAAGAGAGGTTCATTCTGTATGAACTGGTGCTACAGAGGGTTATAGTGTAATAAGCGCTTTGCAAACAAATGTCAAAGCTCTTTCACGGGTTACTTAATATCTGATTCTCACAAAACTTTATAAATAAGTAATGTATTCTCATTTTATATATAAACCCAGGCCCAGGGAGGTAATGAGTTGACCAATATGGAATGTGACAATTAGGTCTTTTTACCACATCATGCTGCCAAGTAATTGAAAAATAATTAAATGTTAGAATCTCTTGATAATATGGACAGCAACATCTTCCCTAATTTAAATAAATTAAATAATTAAATTCTGGCCTAAGAAAATTACATACCGTAGGCCATAATTTTTAGAATGATTTTCTTTTTATCCCCAGGCTTTCATGGCTGCTGATTAACATTCCAATGCTATTCTGTCCGTTCTCTATTATGGTATCTTACAGGAAAAACACCCATATATATATATACATGTGTGTATATAAATATACATGTATACATAAAAAGTCAGCTTTATTCTTTCTTCTGCCTTAATCAGTTTATTTATTTTTAGCTTTTTTAAAAACTCTCACCTGAGGATATGTTTATTGACAAGAGAAACAGACAGACATCAATGTGAGAGAGAAACAATCTCCTGTACATGCCCCGACCAGGGATTGAACCCAGAGCCTAAGTACATGCCCTGACTAGGAATCAAACCTGCAACCTTTTGGTGTTATGAGACGATGCTCCAACCGAGCCACACGGCCAGCGCTATCTTTATTATTATTATTGTTTACACTATTACAAATGTCCCCAGTCTGCGCCCGCTGTGCCTACCTCCACCTAACCCTTGCCCCACCTTCCCTTAGGCCCTCACCACACGGTTGTCCATGTCTATGGGTCATGCATGTATGTTCTTTGACTAATCCCTTCACCTTCTTTCATCTAGTTCCCTCCTCTTCCCTCCCTTCTGACAACTGTCAGTCTGTTCTGTGTATCTATGACTGTTTCTATTTTGTTTGTCAGTTTATTTATTGGATTCCACATATAAGTGAGATCATGTGGTATTTGTCTTTCACTGACCTGATTTATTCATCATCGTATTTTTTCCGTTTCTTGACTCAAAAAAGTGTTATAACACCTTAGCCTGTACCTTAAAATACTCAATTTTAAGGTTTTATTTTTGTTAACTTACAGATGTTTAATTTTTTTCCTCTAAGTAATTTGGTTCACTAATTAAAATTCTAAGACAAAAGAAGGTAGAAAACTAATTTCTCTAAATAAAAAAAGACTCCTTTCAAATTAGTAAACACATAAACAAAACCCAACCCAATGACAATATGGGCCAAAAATATGAAAGAACAATTCAGATAGAAGGTTACTACAAATTCCCAATAAATTCATGTAAAGATACATAATCTCACACATAATCAAGGAAAGGAAAAATTTTTTAAATAATGTTGTTCATCTATCAGAATGGTAAAATTTTAAAAGACTGGTTATATGTAAGGATGACAAGATTGTTGGGGAAAAAACAGTACCAAAGGCTGTTGGTGGTTAAACCCTTTACACAAACATGGTCACAATTTTAAAGACAAATATCCTTTGACCCATCAATTCCACCTCTAGGTATCCATTCTACATAAATCCTGCAGTTCATTCAGCTATAGTACTGTATGACTGTGTTCACTACAGCTCTCTTTATAATACTGAAAAAACAGAAAATGCCGTTCTGCTATAGAATACTTATGGCTTGTTAAAGATAAACTGATAAGTGAGAAAAGCAAGTTGCAGAAGTGAATGTATAGAATTTTCACTTCTGTTAAAACTATAAACTGAAACACATACTCACTCACTTATATGTGCATAGATAAAGGTCTAAAATATATGCACCAAGAAAGTGTTAACAGTGGTTATATCTGGAATCAAGAAGGTACAGGAGTAAGGAAAAACTCTTTTCAAATTTTGCATATATTTCTTTCTTTTTTTCCTTTCTTTCCTTTTTTTTAGAGAAAGAGAGAGAGAGAGAAAGAAAACTATCAGCTCTGGCTGGTGTGGCTCAGTGGATTGAGTGCCAGCCTGCGAATCAAAGGGTTGCTGGTTCGATTCCCAGTCAGGGCACGTGTCTGGGTTGTTGGCCAGGTCCCCAGTAAGGGGCGCCTGAGAGGCAACCACATATTGCTGTTTTTCTCTCCTTTTTCTCCCTTCCTCTCTCTCTCAAAATAAGCAAATAAAATCTTGAAAAAAGAAATAACAATTTGTTATTCCATTTATTTACACATTCATTGGTTGCTTCTTGCACGTGCCGACTGAAGATTGAACCCACAAACTTGGCGTATCAGAACTATGCTCTAGCCAACTGAGCTACCCAGGAAGGGCAAATTTTGTGTATATTTCTAATTGAAAAATTTAAAAGGATCATTTAAATATGCTATTTCTTTCCTTCCAGGGAGGCAAGAAATGGAAGGTCATTTCTTGTAGTGTTTGGGGGAGTAGAGCAGGCAGGCCAGCCGGCCAAGAGGGATGGGAAGGAGTACAGTCCTGGCCATGGGAGAAGTCCTATTATTTGATTCTCATGATGTAAGAATGGGAATAGTTGAGACCTGTATCAGTTATAAATCCAGCCCCAATTCATCAATCTAGAATGTTTCACAATCCCCAAATTTACCCCAATCAGCTATAGAGGCCCAGATATGACAAGAGGCTAAGGAGTAAAGGTTAGAGATGATATAGTCCCAGGTGTTAACCCCAATTTTCTTACCTCATCTTCAGGATCGGGATAAGGTCTCTTGCAAATGCAGTACAATCCAAAAAAGTTGTCATTGTACTTATTGCCAGAATTTATCTTTGCTTTGTCCTGAAAGATATTAATTTCAATATATTATGTTCTAATGTTAACTATAATTTCATAGGTCATGACATTCCTACATTCAATAAATTTCTGCATTAAATATATAAAGAAAAAGAATTCACTACTATTAAAGGGACACTTTTTCCAGGACACAGGGAAAAAAAAATTCACTTTTTGTACCTTCTTTGTAGCAACTGGGAGAAAATGAATATACTCATTTAATACAATAGTAATGAAAGTTACTCATAAGTATTAATTATCAACCTATATAAACTGACTTTGGCCTAGAACTTCAAAGTACTTCTTAACAGCCAGCTGTAGTAGCTGAAGCCCCCAGTTTACTAGGAGGTAAAAATAAAAAGCAGACAAGAAAATTGTCTAAAAATGTTTAAAGGAGAGAAAAGAGTATTAGTTTTAGCAATTATGATTGAACAATATAAAATCCCTTACTTTCTTTCATTTATGATATTTCACTAAGTCATTGTATAAGCAGTTTTTATTAGCCAAAAAGCAGTGAAAACCTCTTGTGTGCATCTAGCCCACACTCATTATTACCAAGTTTTATTGATCCACTTTTTAGAATCATACCCTTTGGTTTAAAAACCTTAGAGCATGAGCTCAACCAACATAATTAAACCCAAATCACTGCAAAGAACATTTCCCCAAAACCCTCTCATGTTAATTACAACCTATACCACAGGCTCTGAGCAGGTTACTTAGTTTTCCAATAGGATAAAAAATGGGCTAATATTGATTTGCCCATTTGCAAAGAATAAGCATCAACTTCCTTTTTGGAAAATGTTTTTTATCCACTCTGTCAAATATCAATTTCTGCTATTTTCAGTGCATTTACAGTTATAGTGCTTACTTACAGGAAACAATTTGCATTCCAAATTTTTAAACTTGCTGTTTCCACAATCACAACGAAAATTTCTGAAACAAAGGAGGAAGAGCCCATTTTAATTTTTCTTTTAAATCTCAAGACTTTTTAAAGTTCACATCATAGCCTCCTCCCTTTCAAATCATTTCTAAGATCTAAAAAGTGACCTTGGTTGCTGCTCATGTGTCCAATTCAGAACTTCTCCAAGCACATAACAGTAAACAATTTAATGATTCTGGAAATTAACATGCAGAGACAAATACCTATATAACACCCAGAGACACAAATACATTAATGGCAGAGAAAGATGAGTAGTTTGAGTTTGTACCAAAATTGTATTTTAAAAGGCCCTATAGGAAACCTATGTTTTGAATTATATTAAACTATAATAAATTTTACCAGTGCACAGCTACTTTGAATGGAAAAGAAAGATTAAGAAAAAAGTGTAGCTGGGAGACTCTAAACAGTTAAAAAGTATTCAGCACCAACCTGATGGTCCTTACCTTTTTGTGTATAGCTCAAAGAGTTTATGACTTCCGTGACATTCGTAACTGCAAGCTAGGCAAATGCCTGCTGGTTCTTCTCCCTCTGGGGTACAGGTACTACAGGCATACAGTGCTTGTCTCTTTACAAAGCCCTAAAAGACAACCCCAAAATTGTAAAAGAGAATTAATGGGGTATGGCATAGTTACCTAATACCCACACTGTGATCTAAGAAATACCTGAAGTCAGATTATCTATGGTCATGATCTCCCCGTAAAAACCACTAAGGTTAATGAAAAAGCTTACACAAGAAAATGGCAAAACACTGTTGACTGTTGCATACCACTAATATGTTTTCTTTCTTTCTCTTTTTTTATTTTATTGATTTTTACAGAGAGGAAGGCAGGGAGGGAAGGAGAGGGTGGAGAGAGAGAAACACTGATTTGTTACTCCACTCACTTATGCATTCACTGGTTGATTCTTTTGAGTGCCCTCACCGGAATCCAACCGCAACCACGGTGTATGGGAACAACATTCTACATCACCTGAGCTACGTGGCCAGGACCATACGAGTGCCTGTTTTCATACAATTTTTCTTAAAATGATTGAAAATTTTGACCTGGCTGCTGTGGCTCAGCGGACTGAGCGCCAGCCTGTGAACCAAAACGCTGCTGGTGTGATTCCCTGTGGGGGTGCATAACTGGGGCGCAGGTCAGGTCCCACTGACCTCTCTCTCCCACATGGATGTTTCTCCCCCTCTCTTTCTCCCTCTCTCTAAAAATAAATAAGTGAAATAAATAAAATGATAAAAAGTTTAATATTTTCAATCAGCTGTGAATAAGCTGGCCTGCTTAATCATTTTAACTTGTGAAAACATAGGAGAATGTGTGTAGGTTTACATAGTATCACTTTAACTCTGGAAAATGCTTGTGATTCCACCAGAGAAAATCAACGCATTAAAAAAAAAAAAAAATCCCTCTTTTCCAGGAGAGGCATGATGAAACATTTAGAGGTGTGGTGTGGTGACATTTCAAAAATAACTTAGGTACAGACTGTTTTAAAAAAAAAGGAAAGAGAAGGAAAAGTTGTTCTAGCGGTGACCAAAGGGTTTAAAATCCCGGCCCACATCTGGGTCGCTCTCCGGGTTACCTGCATTTCACAGTCCAACCACTTCGCAGTGTAAGCTCAACGAGGCCAGGACAACTGGTATTATGATCTCAGTCCACACCACGGAAAGACCCCAAGACTCCTCATTCCCCGATGTTCCCTTCCACTCCCCAGAAGACAACTTCTTCCTCCTCCCAATCCTCATCCTCTGTGAGTTTTCTTCTACCCACCTCGATCCCTTTTTGTACCCAGAAATACATAGGATGAGTCACGCAACACTACATCGCACCCCCTCAAATCCTTGTTCACAACGTCTTCCAAACGCCAAATTTCTTCCTCAAGCAGCTCCTTCTCTCCCCTCCTACCCACTTTGCCAGTGCCATCTGCTGTTCTGGTTCCCGTCCCCATGGGGCGTAGATTGCAAAACGACACGGTACTTGCTGCTTCTCACCAAAAAAACGACCAGCTAAACTAAATTGCCAAGGAACCGGCCGTCAAGGAGCCCAGCCCACGCGGGGAGAGTTTCAGATCCACGGCTCTCTCTTTTAGCCCTGCTTTGACTCTCCCATTCGGTTCCTAATAAATATTTTAGGATGGGAAAAGTAGGACGAAGCTATGAGAGGTCCTGGGAATGGTTGCCTGAAAAGCCGCCGGGCACCGAGAAGGGACAGAGAGAAAGACAGATACAGCTGCTCGAGGGCCAAAGCCTGGAGAATCCTGAGCGGCCGGAGGAGGACCGAGGGCCGGAGCGGGTCCATCTTGGACACAGGCTGAAGGTAAAAGGGCAGCTGGGCCTGGGTTGGGGAAGCCTACGACGAACGGCGGCTCCGGTCCACCACGGGGAAGACGGCCGCGGCAGGCGGGAATAGGACAAGTCCTGCAGGGACGAGAAGGTTCCGCGGGAGCCCGAGGGAGGCGAGGCCCCCGCTGAGCGCCCACCTGCGAGTAGGAGCACTTCTCCGAGTCGCTGCCGCCCAGCACGGCGCACGCCTCATTCTCCAGCTCCTCGTCCTCCTCGAGGACGTCGACCAGCGATACCACGGGCTCCAGTTCCGACTGCCGCCCACCTGGACTCTCGGCTCCGGCCATCCTCAACTGTCACAGGACCGCAGCTTTGCCCCAGCGGAGGCGGGAAAAGCGGCCACGAGAGGCGTGGCCGGAGGAGGAGGGCCCTGAATGCCAGGAACCAATCCCAAAGAAAGAAATCTAAGGAAAGGGGAGGAGCGACTTCCGACAAACGGAAGTCGCTCCTCTCCTTTCTCCCGCCTGCGCCCGCTGCGGATTGGCTTCCGCTTCCGGTGATACTTGCCTGTGGCGCGTTCTGGAAGCTCAGTGGTTGCCATGGAGGTGTTGGGCGAGTACGTTGGGCTGGACGGGCAACGGCAGCAGCTACGGGTGCCCTGTGAGGCGCCGAACGACGCGGACCCTTTCCAGGGCCTATTGTCCAGCGTGGCCCAAATGAGAGAGCTGGTGGCCGAGCTCTTGGGCCCCCAGGTACAGCGGGAAGCGCAGGACAGGGTGGCAGCGGCTCCAGACGAGGCCTTGGACGGTGAGCTCTGGGAGGGTGGAGGGCAGGGAAGAGGAGCTCAGGGAAAATACGTTCCGGGGGCACGTGTAGACATTTTTCAAGCGGACTTAAAGAAAGTGAGCCTCGGGGGAAGAAGAATTAGACCGAAAAATTGACACCTTCCGCCCCATCTGAGCGGAATCTGACCGATTTATCGGGGCTGCTTCTCCCTAAACGTTTTCACGACTCTTTTCACTTATTATACACGCACACTGAACTGCCTGCTTTGTGCTAGGCTCTGGGCTGAGTTCTGGAGAAAGAATGAAGTGAATGCGCCTCAGTTACTCTCCTTGTGGACCGGGGTTAAACAGGTAGTAAAGAGTGGAAGGACGACCCCAGGACCATCTGTAATCCTGCAAATCGAGAGAACCCAGGAAGGCTTCAGAGGGCATGACTTGAGCTGGGTGTTGAAGGATGAAAAGGAGTTTTACAAGGTGTGAAATTACAAACGTGTGGAAGGTAGCCATCTATAAAAGAATAAGAACAGGTTCTGAAGGTTGGGACAGATTTCAGTTTCATTAACAACTTTTAAGACTCCCAGGCACTGCCTTCCCATATCCCGGTTTTGTAGGTCGGGTTTGAAAGTAGAAACGTGAAATTTAACTGCTTTAATATTTTCTAAATCTTGTTTTGAATGGCAAAATAGGTGCATTTTGACTGCCCAGAACTGAAGAACCTAAGAGCTAAATATTGGAGTCAGGGCTTCACTCCTCTGTAGAATAGTGCAAATTCTGTACTTTCCTTTTCCATGTTGATTGCTAATTGATAGTTCCAAATGTGACAGATACAGTTGGGAAGGTTACACTGAGTTCAGAAAACAGATTGTTTCTGAGTCATATATATCTAGAAAGAAGTCCTGTTTTGTGGCTCCAGAAGCACCTCTAATCTGTTGAAAATGTTGTCATTGAATAAGATCAAGAGTACAGCTAGAGTCACTTTTTTAAATCTGTCATTAATTTTGGAAAAATAACTGCCACCTCTTCTATTAATGGTGGGTCAGTAATATCTTTGTATAGGTGGACATGTTTTTCTATTATTCACTAAATGAAATCCCCATAAATCTTAGGTTTGAATTACCTTTGTTAAATAAAATGATAAAGATAAAATGGCAAATTTTATGTTGTATGAATTATATCTCAGCAAGAAATGTACAAAATAAAAAAATTATAAGTATTAAAGAAGAGTTATAGAACTTAAAACTAAAAGTACAAATAATCCAATTACCAAATACACAAAGGATTTGAGTAGACAGTTATACCAATAAGTGAGGCCAATAAGCACATGAAAAGATGCTCAGTATCACTGGCCATCAGGGAAATGCAATCTAAAACACAGTGAGATACCACGACATGCCCACTAGAATGGCTATAATCAAAACAGAACAGTAAGTGTTGGCTAGGATATTGAAGAAATCGGAGTCCTCATACATTGCTGGTGAAAATGTAAAACAGCCTTCTTCTTTGGAAAAGAGCTTGGCAGTTCCTCAAAAACTTAAAGTTACCGTCTAACCCAGAAATTCCACTCCTAGTTCAACCAAGGGAATTGGAAACATATGTTCACACAAAAACTTATACAGTAATGTCCACAACGGCATTGTTCATAATAGCTAAAGAGTGAAAACAGCACAAATGCTCATCAGCTGGTAAGTGGATAAACAAACTGATATATCCATATAGTGGAATATTTTTCAGCGATAAAAATGAATGAAGTGCAGATACATGCTACAACATGAATGAACCTTGAAAACATGCTAAATGAAAGAAGCCAGATTCAAAAGGCCACATATTGTATGATTCCATTTATGTGAAATGTCCAGAATGGACAAATCTATAGAGATAGAAATTAGATTAGCGGTTGCTAAGGACTTCGGAGAATAGGAAGTGACTCTTAGTGAGTATGGGATTTCTTTCTGAAATGATGAAAGTGTTCTAGCATTAGACAGTGGTGGTGATTGCACAGCCTTGTGAATATACTAAAAATCAATAAGCTGTGTACTTTAAAAGTGAAAGTTATGGCTATATGAATAGCCATATTCATATATTTTTGAATTATATCTTCAAAAAAAGTGATAGCAAGGAAAGGCTTTAAACACCAAAATTACTGAAATCTTTTTATTGATACATACTTCAAATCTGGAATATGCATGATTTTATTAAACCTAAAGTGAAATGGTTTGATCTGCAACCATTTTAATTATATTTCTTTCAACCACTGAACATATTGTCATACAACAAATGTTTATTTTAAAAGGTGATGATGAAGATGATGCAGAAGATGAAAATAACATTGATAACAGAACTAACTCAGATGGACCATCTGCAAAACGGCCAAAACCACCATCTTAACAATAGCTTTTATGAAATTTAAAAGACTGCTGCCATGCTTGCTTCGGCAGTACATACACTAAAATTGAATGATACAGAGAAGATTAGCATGGCTCCTGCGCACACAAATTCGTGAAGCGTTCCAAAAAAGAGACTGCAACCATTTCTTAGTTATCACACGCTGACATTTAAGGAAGACTTCTACTGTTTTGTTTCCCTGGGACAATTTTGTCAAAGAAAAGCAAACTTTATTCTGTTTCCAGCCAAGAAAATATATGTTAGGAATGAATCTATGTTCTTGAATAAGAAATTTCAGAACATGGAAATAATAGAGAACACTTTATAATGTATAAAATCCTCTAAGGTGGCAACTGAATTTGTATTATTTTCTACTTTTAAAATAACCATTGAATTAATTTGTGTGATGTGTACATCTTTTAACTTTGGCTTCTGTTATAAAGAATAATGTCATGGTTCGTGGTCAAAAATATTTCCAAAAACTGACGTTAGCAAGTGATGAAATGGGGTAGCAAGTATAAGAATGGCAATCTGTATCACAGAATTGTATGCTTGAAACTTATATAATTTTATTAACCAATGTCACCTCAATAAATTTAATTCTTTAAACAAAATGCATACATTTATCTGTCTGTTTAAATAGAAGGAAAACAGAATAGAGAGAAGAACTTAATAAAGATGAAGAGGAGCCCTTGAAAGAAACCCCTGGAAACCTTGAATCCATGCTCACACCCAATATACAGACATCTAGAGATGATACCATTCAGTGAATACACAGGGTGGGACAAAAGTATGTTTACAGTTGTGAGTACACAAAACTTTATTCTTGTATTATTTATTAATTGTATTTTCCATACATACAACACTAAACCTACTTTTGCCCCACCCTGTATGTTTAACTTGTACCTTAAGAGAGCCCAATGGAGTGTTCTTTTATGCCATGATATGTTATATATATAGAAACACAAATATAACCTTAAGTAAATCTGTGTTGACTGTAACTTAGATATTTCCTATCAGCCTGTAGCCACACTGATTCTGCTTAACAAAACACTATTTTAAGTCCTTGAAGTGTGTGTGTGTGTGTGTGTGTCCCCGTCCCTTGTCATCGGGACTAAGGCATTTTTTATTTACTGTGCATGTTTTTGTGATTCATTTAGATAACTAAAATGCAGAGAAATCAAGTAGAATGTAACCTAATGAAATACAAAGTCATTGATTTTTAGAGCAAGTAACCTTATATAAGTATTATATGATTTATTTCAGAGATAAATTGAATCTTAGAATATGTGTTTGCCCTGAGTTACAGAACTGTTGGCAGAGCTGGGTTATATACATAGCCTTAAAAAGATTACTGTAGTACTATCCCAGTTATACACTCTGAAATCTATAGCTTACAAAGTACATACTAGTAAGGAAATGATTTACATAGCTTTTCATATTTTTAAGGCATTTTTTTATTTTGAACATCAACCTTCCACTAAGTACTCTTATATAATCAAAACATTACCAACTAGGAAAGGTTTTATAAAGATGCTCTTTGACTTATGATGGGGTTTACATCCCAAAAAAACTCATTATAATATGAAAATACAAGTAGAAAACGCATTTAAAACACTTAACTTACCAAACATAGCTTAGCCTGGCCTACCTTAAACATGCTCAGAACACTTACATTAGCTTATAGTTGGGCAAAATCATCTCGCTTCCACTGCCCTGCCTAAAGACTAACGTACCACATATTGCTAACCCAGGAAAAGATCAAAATTTGAAATTTGAAGTAGGGTTTCTATTGAAAGCATATTGCTTTTGTACATAAAGTCAAAACATTGTAAGTTGAACCATTGTTTAAGTCAGGGACTGTCTGTAAATGATCATAAATTATCTTGATTGTTTTGTCTGATATTGGGACCTCAACTTAGTGATTTAAAATGATCTTTTATCTTTAGACAATCAGTAAAAACTGCATACTTGTATAATTAAAATAGTTAATATTTTTAAATTAATAGATAAACTTTGCTCCTGAATGTTTTGTTTCCTTTGTTTAGTAAATATGTTTATAAAGGAGAAATTTCAAGATATTTGTGATTCAGTGGTTTATGGCCTGGGTTATGGGTTTTACTGATCTTTTCCTTAAATACTGATTTTAATTCTAGTACTGTCTTCTTAAGTGAGCTGTATGTGTTGCAAAAAAGATCAGTTTGAAGGACCAGTATAGAAGAAAGGCCTTGACTGGTCTTTTAATCTGCTACCTTGTAAGGGTAAAAATATTGGCCACAAACAAGCAGAACACAATCTAGTTGCCTTTCAAATCCTGGGCAAAGTGACCTCTTTGCCTGTCTAGCTCTTTTCATCCTTTAGGTTTCAATATAAACATTTCCTCCAGTAGACATTTCCTGGCTTCCTAGACAACGTTAGTTCCTCATGCTGTGTGGGTCTGTGCACCTAGCACCCTATACCTCCCCCTAAATATATGAAATGTACTATATAAACATTATTGCTTCACTACTCAGAATTTTTTTAACTTTTATTAAGAAGGCCTGGATTTTTAAAGGAAATAAAGTTTATGGTTTCTTCCAAATGAGAAAATCAGTTAAGAGACATCTGTGGCCCTAAGTTTATTATGTCCCTTTTATTTAATTCCTATTTAGCCTATTGAAGATACATCTAACCGTGGAGTTGTTCAATCTGTACAAGTATAGACTCTATTTATTTATTTACTTATTTATTGATTGATTTAAGAGACAGAGGAGAGAAAAACATCTATTTATTGTTCCACTTATTTATGCATTCATTGATTGATTTTTTTTAAACATTTTTTCATTTATTTACTTTCAGAGAGGATAAGGGAGGGAGAAAAACACAATGTGTGGTTGCATCTTACGCACCCGCTGTGGGGAATCTAGCCTGCAACCCAGGCATGTACCCTACACTGGGAATTGAACCTGCGACCCTTTACTTTGTCGGCTGGAGCTCAATCCATTGAGCCACACCAGTTAGGGTTCATTGGTTGATTCTTGTAAGTACTCTGACCATGGATCGAACCTGCAACTTTGGTATATGGAGATGACACTCTAATGAACTGAGCACCCAGCCAGAGCTAAATTTTTATAAGAGTTTATTTGAGCCAAACTGATGACATTGCCAGGAAACACGATCTTAAATGCTCCAGAATATCATTTCTTATATGGTGAGTCATACCTGAGACATCCTAAAAACCTAGGCTTTTTAATTCAATTGCCAGCCACCATGTGGTAATAAAGTGTTTATAAGAAATCCCTGTTTGTCCTGGCTGGTGTGGCTCAGTGGAGTAAGCACTGGCCTGTGAACCAAAGGGTCACTGATTCAATTCCCAGTCAGGGCACGTGCCTGGGTTGTGGTTGGGGGTGTGGGAGAAGCAACCAGTAGATGCATCTCTCCACCTCAATGTTTCTCTTCCCTCTCTTTCTCCCCTCCAATCTCTCTAAAAATAAATAAAGCTTTTTTAAAAAAGGAGTTCTTGTTTTGATTGTAGTTGAGCACTGCAAAGTTCAGGGCTGTATTACCATAAATGCAGCTAGTGATAGTTTCAAATAAAATTAACATGTTAATTACATTATACTACAATCATTCTTGTGATAATTATTTCTTGGGTATCTCAGTATATAGTAACCAGAGTGTAAAATTCTTATCAAAATTGAAGAATACAAGAGTAGGCAAGAGTAGGTTTACAGTTGAGCCCTAACTGGTGTAGCTCAGTAGGTTGGTTGGGCATCACCCCACAGACCAAAAGGTCACTGGTTTGATTCCTGGTCAGGGCACATGCCTGCGTTGCAGGCCAGGTTCCTGGTTGGGGGCATGCAAGAGGCAACTGTGCTTCTCTCCCTCCCTTTTTCCCTCTCTTCCCCTCTCTCTAAAAGTAAATAAAATTTTTTTAAAGTAGGTTTACAGTTGGTCATATGAAATACAGAATTTATTCTTTATATTTATAAATATAAATAATACAGTAAATATTGTATTATTTGTATAACTGTAAACCTACTTTTGTCCACCCCTGTATTTGTAAAATACTACTCAGTTTTATTTTAACAAATGAGAAACAAATTGGTTTTTGTGATGAAGTTGGATTCTTTTCTCACTGCCTAGAACATAATTTTGGGCTGGCCAAAGAGTTCATTATGTTTTCATTTTCATGAATAACTTTATTGGTTTGAATATTTTGAGTATGTTGGCTATCTCCCACAATGGGCTTCTACTAGGTGGAGGCCAGGGGCGCTGCTAAACGTATTCCAATGCATAAGACAGCCCCGCAGCAAAGAATTATTTGGCTAAAATGTCAGTAGTACCAAGAAACTTTGCAAACCACTTTGGACGTGTTCGATCAGTCACAGCACCTTCTCCATATACTGCACAAATCTTTTTTTGCATTTCAGCTGCGTTTGTACCTTTTTTGAAATAATAAAGCATAATACACCAAAAATGTTGCATCTCTTCTTCCATCATCAATATTAAAATGGCTCACAAAAGTTCACCAACTTCGATCACTTTTTTAAAAATGCACGCTGATATGACAGCAGTCACAATACAACCTAACAAAATTGTTTCAAATGAAGATAAATACAACTAAAGGCTACTAGAGCCATCGTATGGAAAAGATGTAACAGGCTTTTTGGCCAACCCAATACATTCCAGGTAGATTCAAGAATTTTAGTGTAGAAAACAAAACTATAAAAGTACTAAAAAAAAATGGAATAACAGTTTTTATAACTCCAGAGAGAGAAAGGTTTCCTAAATAGGTGTTTTGAAAATCCAAAAGCCATAATAAAAAAGATTAGTAAATAGAGTTACGTAATAAGGTTTCTGAACATTCTGTAAGGTTAAAAGACAAAGGGAAAAAGTATTTCATATTTTCAGCACAAATGACAGAATTTGTTTTATGGATCTCACATGTACCAATCAGAAAGAATAGAAATGGGCAAAAGAAAGGAACAGCAAGATCACAAGAAATACACATGGCTTTTAAATGAAAAAATGCTCCATCTCCAAGAAATGAAAATTAAAACAACGATACCATAACATTTTTTCACTTTTCAGACTGAAAGATCGAAAGTTTTGATGCAATATCGAGCTGGAAAGGATGCGAGGTCTATAATATATTGATGGTGAATGTAAATTGGTGTAAGTTCTTTGAAAGTTGACAATTTTGTTCAAGTGTTAAATATGCATGCTCTTTGATTCAGCAGTTTCACTTAGAAATTTATCCTATAGATAATAGCAATATGTGCACAGATCTGTTTACAAAACTATTTACTCCAGCCTTATTCTTAGTAACAAAAGGCGGTACACATCAGAAGACTGTAGTTAAGCCATCAGAGAAATGCAGATCAAAACCACCATGAGGTACCACCTCACACCGGTCAGAATGGCCATCATAAACAGATCAACAAACAACAGGTGCTGGCAAGGCTGTGGAGAAAAGGGAACACTAGTACACTGTTGGTGGGAATGCAGACTGGTGCAGCCATAGTGGAAAGCAGTGTGGAATTTCCTCAAAAAGCTGAAAATGGAACTGCCTTTTGATCCAGTGATTCCCCTGCTGGGACTATACCCTAAGAATCCCAAAACGCCAATTCAAAAGAACCTATGCACCCCAATGTTCATAGCAGCACAATTTACAATAGCCAAGTGTTGGAAGCAACCTAAATGCCCATCAGTAGATTATTGGATCAAAAAATTATGGTACATTTACACAATGGACTACTACGCAGCAGAAAGAAAAAAAAAACTACTAAACTTTGCGACAGCATGGATGGAACTTGAGAGCATTATGCTAAGCGAAATAAGCCAGAGAGCGAAAGACAAATACCATATGATCTCACCTATAAGCGGAACCTAACCAACAATACAAATATGTACAAATACAAAGATGCAAGGAAAATAAGACCAGCAACACTGAAAGGAAAAGAAACCAACAGAGACAAAAGGGAAGGAGGGGGGGCAGGGGAAAAGGAAGGGAAGGGGAAAGTCAAGGAACATATAGCAAGGTCTCATGGACAAAACCAAAGGGGAAGAGTTGAGGGAGGGAGGGAGGGAGGGAGGGAGGGAGAGAGGGGGCAAGGGAAAGTGGTGGGGGGTAGGCAGATACAAATGTTTTTGAAAAAATAAATTTAAAAAAGAATATTTCCTTTACAAAAGAAAAAAAAGACTGTAGTTAAATAAAAATAGTATATTATGTTAGAAGATTTGTGCAGGCATTAAAATGACCAAGGTATAGCTCTATGTGTTGTTAAAGATCAATCTCTAGAACATGATGTTAAATGAAAAGGAGCAAACTACAGAAACAGTGTGTAGAATGCTACTATTGGAGACTATTGGCTGGATATGCTTATAGTTTCTCTGAAAGGATAGTCAGACTACTTCTAGGGAGACTAGGGGTTGGGAGTGAGAGGGAAATTTCTTGTCATATGCCCTTTTTGTTCTCTTTGCATTTAAAAAAATCATGTTACGTGTTTTTATACACAGATAAAGAAAAAGTTACTGGGGAACCCGCCACCACCGCAGCTGCCACCGCCTGCCAGGACCACTGCACTGCTGAGCATCCCTAGGCAGCACATTGGAAGTTGCTGACCTCTAGAGCCAGCCCTCGCCAAATACATCGCATTCTCCACACATCCATTGAGAGATCCCTCCTGGTACAAGGTGGGCACCATGGCACAGAAGTTTGAATGCCACCACTGCAAGAAACTCCTGCAGGGGAAGAAGTATGTGGAGAAGGACAACCACCACTGCTGCCTGAGCTGCTTTGACAAGTTCTGTGCCAACATGTGTGTGGAATGCCACAAGCCCATCGGTGCAGACTCCAAGGAGGTGTGCTATAAGAACCGCTACTGGCACAGCACCTGCTTCCACTGTGCCAAGTGCCTGTGTCCCTTGGCCAATGAGCCCTTTGTGGCCAAAGACGAAGAGATCCTGTGCAACAAGTGCAGCATGCTTGAGAACTCCTCCAAGTGCAAGGGCTGCTTAAAGCCCATTGTGGCAGGAGATCAGAATGTGGAGTACAAGGGGACTGTCTGGCACCAAGACTGCTTCACCTGCAGCAACTGCAAGCAAGTCATTGGGACTGGAAGCTTCTTCCCAAAAGGGGAGGACTTCTACTGCGTGTCTTGCCACGAGGCCATATTTGCCAAGCATTGCGTGAAATGCAGCAAAGCCATAACATCAGGAGGGATCATGTACCAGGATCAACCCTGGCATGCCGAGTGCTTTGTGTGTGTTAACTGCTCTAAGAAGCTGGCTGGGCAGCGTTTCACCGCTGTGGAGGACCAGTATTACTGTGTGGATTGCTACAAGAACTTTGTGGCCAAGAAGTGTGCTGCATGCAAGAACCCCATCACAGGGTTTGGTAAAGGCTCCAGTGTGGTGGCCTATGAAGGAAAATCCTGGCACGACTACTGCTTCCATTGCAAAAATTGCTCCATGAATCTGGCCAACAAGCGCTTTGTTTTCTATCAGGAGCAAGTGTATTGCCCCGACTGTGCCAAAAATGCTGTAAAGTGACAGGGGCTCCTGTCGTGTAAAATGGAATGAAGTCTTGTTCCTTGCGTCCTCACCCTCCGCCCTGTACCACTGATAAGGAAAGAGTGGCCTTTGACCTCTTCAAAGTTGTTCCTTCTGTCTTTTCTCCCTTTTTACAGTATTACTCAAATAAGGGCACACGGTGATCAATCATCTTAGAACATAGCAAAAAGCAACTCCACAGCAAAGTTAATTTTGTGATGGCTGCAGTTAAAAAATGAACACTTAGATAGATTGACTCCTCTGCAGGTTTACCATAGAGCAGAAAGGCACTAATCATTTAGCTGCTTAGTGATGTAAGCAAGAAGCTTTAGAGATAAAGCCCCCACTGAGATGCACTTCATGGCTCAGCTGGGCCACCATGTCATCACAGGACACAGAACAGTTGCAGCAGCTGCTCCAACTCACTGCTCACCCTGTTCTGTGAGTAGAAAGCAAGCTAACCAGTGCATGGTTTAGTTTCCTCATCAAAACCTTTCTTCAGTTCTTTTGTGCTTTTAATTCACTAACACAAATTTCCAGAAAATTAACATTTGAACTTAGCTGTGATTCTAATATTTTTTTAGAGAAAGGAGAAGGGAGGGAGAAAAAGAGGGAGAGAAACACTGACGTGAGAGAGAAACATTGATCAGTTGCCCCTCATACACACCCCAACCAGGGACTGCACCCACAACCCAGGCATGCACCCTGAGCCATCTTCACTTTGCGGGACTCAGCCGGACGACAGCCAAGCAGCTGAGCCACATCCGCCAGGGCCTTAGCTGTGATTCTAAGCTGACCTTTTCCCAGTACCAATGTTTGAGTTCCTGTGTGCCGTTCCTAATTTTTCTGAACGTTCCTAACTTTCAGGCATGGAACATGCAGATCATTTGGGAAGTGTAAACAGATCTGAGAGAGGGAGTCTGTTTCAGAGGCTCATCATCCCAGTGAGTCCTGCTGGAAACTTAACAAAACTAACCCACCAGTCCTTTTTCTTTGTTTAATTAATATTTTTGTTGCAATTAATAGCATAATTTATAGGTTTGGAGACTTGCAGGGAAATATATATGGCCCTCACATGTTCCTACAGTTTTGAAATCCTCCCGCAGAAGTAACCATAAAACCCCGGGGGGGCAGTGGTGCAGGTGCCAGGACTGTCACAACATGGATGTAGCAAGTTGACTCCCTTGTAACAAAGAAGTTGCCTGCTCTTTGTCCCTGTGGTAAAGAGGCCCTCCAGCATCCCTTCTCTTGTGATTGCTAGGACTGTTCCTCAAGAGCTGAGCTGCACCTCTGGGGGAGTGGAGGTCACCACCCTCACAAGCAGATTTCCATGTGGTGTGCACCTGAGGCAGGATCACCTACTTACTGTGTTCCAGCTACACTGTTACATTACATGGTAGAATGGGACAATCTCAAAGTGAACATGTAATGACAATGCATATTACTAACATTTTCATAGTAGTGGTTAGAGAAGCCAATGCCTCATTCCCACATTTGGTCATTAGCTATTATCATTTAATGTTTCAGTGTATCCTTACACAAATAAAGCAGCATATACAGAAAAATTTTTGTGAAACTTTCAAACAGTTTTACTTTTCAAAAGGCATGCTTTATTTACTTATTAAACCTTTCCCGAGAATATTTTCATTGATTTTAGAGAGAGAGGGACATCAACTGATTGCCTCTGATACACTCCCCAATCGGGGTTCAAAGCACAACCTAGGCATGTGCTCTGACGAGGAACTGAACCCACAGCCTTTTGGTATATGGGCTCATGATGCTCCAGTCAGCTGAGCCACCTGGCCAGACCCAAGAACCATACTTTAAATAAGGACAGAAAAGCCTATTAAGAGTTTAAGTAAAGGCAAAAATGAACCAATTCAGACTTAAAAAACAAACAGTAAGTCCATATTTCCCATCTGACTACTACTTTGCCAGAATAGAGAATAGTGTGACTTCTAAAGCGGTGAGGAAAACGAGTAAATATGAGGTAGGATACCAGAAAAAAGGTAGGTGTTTCTAAAACTGAAAGGCCTGGCGTTAACCTTGAAAAAATTGCCCTCTAGCCAGTGCATTATTCTCGAGCTATTAAACGAATTTCAGTGTTGCTGCAACTACTCCATTTTCAGGTGAACTTTGGGGTCAGAATTGCTCTATTTAAAGATATGGCTCAGGGAAACAGTGAATGCTAGACAGTAAGCATCTATTGAAATCTCTTAAAATAGCAGTTCACATTGGCGCCCTTGGGGTGGTTTTAAATGGAAATTTACTCTAGTGCCAAAAATTCTGCTGGAGATAGAAGCAACTTCTAGAAAAATACTTGTTTAAGTGAGTGCTTTACAGGACTGAGGTATTGCTTTGAGCACCAGAATACTGAAACAGTGTGTTACAGCTCTAAGAGGTCATCATGACACTTGGTGCTTATGTTGGGTGGCTTAGGAAACCATCATCATGACTGTTAGGAGAATTTCTCAAGGTTCTGACGACCACTTAAAATACACCTCTTGTTTGTGAATGTGGTATGTGTTCTCCTGTGCATCGGTAAGAAAAACCCTAAGACAACCAACATAAGAATTGTTGGCAAAAATACATTGGGAGACTCATTTTAAATCTTGGCCTTGAAAAGAATACATCAGTACATGCTGAAACCTGAAAGAGTTTAACAACCAAACTTACTTAGCACATGTGAGTTTATGCTCTGCACTTAGTGGTAAATGTCAACTTGAACCTACTATGTTCCAGGCACTGCTTGAGGCATGGGGCATTTATCACACACACAAAATCCCTCCCCTCATGGAATTTAGGTTCTGCCAAGACATGCCTTGTGATTGGTCATGTGAGGAGCACTGTGGAGAAAAACGGGGGCGGGGGAATGCTGCATTTTCAGCAGGGTGGTCAGAGGCAGCCTCACTGAGCTGACAGCAGAGCAAAGGCCTGAAGGTGACGGGGCAGGCCAGGCCCAAGCACCCAGGCAAAAAGTACACGAGTGCAGAGGCCCTGAAACAGGTTTTTCTTGTGTGTTCTAGAGTCAACAAAAAACCCCGGTGTGGCTGAAGTGGAGTCAGGTCCTGAGAGAGTATTAGAAAATGAACTAAAGGTCAAGGGCCACTTATTTATGACTGGATGCCATGTTAAGGACTGGCTTTTATTCTGAGAAAGATTTTTGAGAAGAGTAACATTTTAAAAGGATCCTCTCCAGTTGTAGTAGGTGGTAGTCTTGTAGTGGACTTAAGGGACAGATTTTGGTGGGCGGAGAGATCTGCAGCTCGGTCAGACAGCTTAGTAAGTATGAAGTAGGCAGCTGGATATTCAAGTCTGGAGCTCCGGAGATACAAGGTAGTGGTATGTGGGCATTTGGAGTCATGAGCCTGGATGAGATGATCAAGGGAGTGAGCAGAGAAAATGGAACTATGGCAGATCCCCGAGGAAGAACCAGCAAAGGAGACAGAAGCTGGCAGGGGAAGAGGAAAAACCAGGAAAGTATCTAGAACTGGACTAATACGTAGTACCAGCCACTTGCGGCTCTTTAATTGAAATTTTAAATCCAGTTCCTCGGTCACATTAGACACATCTCAAGGGCTTGTTTCACGTGGTAGTGGCTACTGATTTGGGCAGCATAGATACAGAACATTTCCACTTTCACTAAAGTTCATTTGGGCAGTACTGATCCAGAAGCCAACAGAAGAAAGTATCTCATGAAGAGGGAATATGTGAAAAGCTGCTAATAAGTAATTTGAGACCTAAGACCTGACCAATGGATTTAGTTATGTGTAAGTTACCAGCGACCACTTGACAAGAAAGCAGTTTTGGCAGACTGAGCGGGAAGGGGGAGTGGTCATTAAAACCTAATAAAATTGTATTCAGGATAAACTGGAGAAAAGGAATTGGAATCAGAAAATATAGACAGCCTCAGTCTAATAGAGATAGGGGAAAATTTTCACCTTTCCCTCTTTACCGAAAGAGTGCTTTTAACTATTGGTCATAGACAAAATAGTAATAATCCAACTTGAATAATCAATTCCTAAATAATCAAAAAACATTAATTCTGCCATCATTGCATTTAGGCATATTGCATTACTCCTGTAATTGTTTTAATATTTATACTACCAAGGCAATAGAATCTTGAAAGATAGGGATGAACTGAGCATTTATTTACCAAACCTCAAAATACTAGAATTTGAAGTATAAGAATCTACTTCAGTAAACAGGAATTACTACAAGTGACAAATCCACAAACCTTGCATTACATCAAACATTTGTAACACAAAAAGTAACAATTTTCTTAAATAATTTCCAAACTATCACTGCTTCAAGACTAACCAAATAAATCAAGAAACTGCTCAATGATCTTCCTCCAGTTATCCTTTTTATGAGGAGCAGCACAGAGGAATGATAGAGCTAGAGATCCAAAGCCAGACATCCCAGGTTCAAGTCCTGTCTTTTCCATTTACTTGCCATGTGACTATAGGCAAATTATTCATTCCTACGTGCTCAGGTTTCCTCATTTTCCTCTTCTGTAAAATGGCACTGGTACCAGTATATACTTGCCTCATAGGGCTATTGTGAAGAATGACTGTAAATCACTAAAAGCAGCACCTGAAGCACGCATGCTGCGATGCCCCTTGACTTATGATGGTTATGTCTCAAACCCATCATGAGTTGAAAATATAAATCAAGCCCTGGCTGGTGTGGCTCAGGGGATTGCACGCTGGCTTGCAAACACAAAGGTCACAGTTTGGTTCCCAGTCAGGGCACCTGCCGGGGTTGCAGGCAAGGTCCTCAGTTGGGGGTGTGCAAGAGGCAACCATGTTTCTCTCCCTTCCTTCCCCTCTCTAAAAATAAATAAAATCTTTTATATATATATGTATATATACATATATATACACATATATATGTCAAAAATGCATTTAACACACCTATCCTACTGAACCTCAGAGCTTAGCCTAGCCTACCTTAAATGTGCTCAGCACACATCAGCCTACAGTTGGGCAAAATCATCTCACTGCTCAGCATCACAAGAATCACACTGCGTAACGCCCAGGAAAAGGTCGAAATTCAAAGAACAGTTTCCACTGATCATATTGGTTTCACACCATCATAAAGTGGAAAAATCCTGTCAAACCATGGTAAGTCAGGGACCGTCTGTAATTAGTACTCAAAAGATACAAATGATTGGGTTATCTGACCCTCACAGAAACGCAGGTATTTCAAACCACCACTAATTTTGAAGATTCCATCTACTGTAGCAGAAGGTAAGTCATTTCAGGAACTAGACCCATGGAGGTAGTAAAAGAAAGAAGCGAGACTAGTTAGAGAAGAATCTGATCTTGCTCCTTTTGAGTTGCAAACGTACCTGCTTTATCTTTCTAGTAAAAGATTGCTGTGGAACATGCAGCCTTCCACTGTGGTCAAATCACTCCTAAAGTTTGAGGTTGCTAGAAAGCTTTAGCTTTTCAGTAGCTCATGCAAATTGAGAAAAACCTGTCTCAGCCCTGACCAGTATAGCTCAGTTGGTTGAGTGCTGTTGCAAACCAGAGGGTCACCGGTTTAATTCCTAATCAGTGCACATGCCTGGGTTGTGGGCCAGATCCCCATTTGGGGGCCTGTGAGAGGCAACCACACATCCAATGTTTCTCTCCCTTTTTCTCCCTCCCTTCCCCTCTCTCTAAAACTAAACAAAATCTTTTTTTTTTTTTTTAAAGGCAACAGATGCCTGGTTATACGTCTGGCTGTGCCACCTACCAGCTTTGTGGCCTTTGGCAAATAACTTTTCCAACTCAGTGTTCTTACCTGTAAAACCTAGATAATTGTTAGCTCATAGGGTTGTTGCATTAAGTGACTTAATTCATGTAAAGTACTTAGAACAGGGTCCAACAGAGTAAGCACCAAAAAATGTTGATTATTAAAATCTATCAGTGTGAGCCCTGGCTGGTGTGGCTCAGTGGACTGAGTGCCGGCCTGTGAACCAAAGATTCACTGGTTCAATTGCCAGTGAGGGCACATGCCTGGGTTGTGAGCCAGGTCCCCAGTAAGGGGTATGTGAGAGACAACCACACGTTGTTTCTCTCCCTCTTTTTCCCTCCTTTCCCCTCTCTAAAAATAAATATATTTTTAAAAAATAAAAATAAAATCTATCAGTATGAAACATTTCCCTGGTATTAATGACATAACCATATAAAAATATATCTTGACCTCACCCAGAAAAAAAAAACTTCTAAAATCTAATATTTCCATTTTTTAGTTATTTGTATTGGTATCAGACATGAGGTAGTAAGTACAAATGCACAGGAGGAAGTACAAGGATCACATCTTCATGCAACTAGCCTATCGTCTGAAGACCAGCCCTTAGGCTATAAAAGAATATTGGGATGATGACTTGACAGCATCTTTTAGAGCTGTCACACATCTGACAGGCACTGGACCAAATATTCTCATTGAACACCTTGTTTCCACATTCTATGTATAAGTTAACGATTTCTCAACATTCGAACATTTAGTCTCTTCCCAAGTTTTTTTTTTAATCAGTATCATTAATAATGGTAGTTAATTAATAACACCAGTAGCATTACCAAAAGGAGGAAAAAATTCTGCGTGTCAAGAGAGCAATCACCTCAATAATTTTATACCAATTTCTCATAAGCATAAATAGTTGGCTTACTCATAAAAGGATGAACTCGTGTTTTAGTTTGAAGAATTTAAAGCAAGCCAAGTAATTGTATAAAATTTAAATTTTATGACCATGTTTGGACCTTCTTATGTGTTAAACACAATGGAAATGTTCATATTCATTTTTCCCCCAAAAGAAAAAATTTCTGAACCATCATTACGTTTCACAGTAAAATAAAAATAACAGACACGATTTTACTTCCAAAATCTGAAGTCATCAACATGATTTTGTAGTATTGTATCTCAGGCTTTACCTAAAAATTCATTATTATTCAAATAAAGATAGCCCCCTAGTCACATTTTTTAAAAAGCCTCTGCCCCACCACAACTTCCTGAGATCTGTGAAAACACTGCAGTCTTGTGACCAGGTTCCATATAGTACTGGCAGTTTTGTAATCAAAAGGAAAAAATGGAGACTGATTTCATGTGTCAATCAGTTGTAGTCTGCTGATCTGATTAGAAGCCTTGACAAATGCCTGGTGGCGATTGCAAATAACTGCCAGGCATATAGGGATAATACAGTAGCCCACCGTTTTGGGGTCAGCTCTTGTACAAGAATATAGGAACAAAAACATCTGTAAGTAAGGTATCAGAAAAATAACTGTCCAAAACCAAAATGGCAGGGAGAGCAACCGAGCTTTCAAGGAGTGTGTCCATGTAGTTCCTTCAAGGGGCTCATCTGGGTGCTGCTGAATGTGTTCCAAGGCCAGCCTGTTGTAAGTCTCATTGATTTCAAAAACGTAGTAAAATGCTGCTGCACTTGCTAACAGATACAATCCCACTCCAATCCATCCCATCCGCTGACGGAAATTCATCATTCTCCATGCTCTGTGCCTTCCAAGTTAAAAAATTAGAAAATACAGTTAGGGTTCAGTAATGCTGCAATGGCAACTATTCCAAATGTACTTCCTTTATTTCTAATGAGTTCTAAAATACCCTACTGCCGCATTTACAGTTGAAGATAAAATTACATTTATTAAGACATGTAAACGTACAGGCTGTTGTTTTATGTAATAGTTATGAGGAAGTATAAAAAGTTTTAGTATATATTGACTCTGCTTTTATGTGACTCCCACAGAATAAATCACTATAATCTGGCTTAAACAGGTCCAGTACGCCTTCCATTAAGAGACTGGAATTAAACTGGTCTCCTACGGAACATTAACTTTCTGACTTAACAGTATTGCTCCAGACATGAACACTTGGTTCTACAAGTCAAAGCAAAGTCGGTGCCCCCAAGTCAAGACAGTAACTCTTAAACACTTACAATGGTCCCGAGAATCTTCCTGTTCCCACGGCAAGCGTTAAAGAGTCACTCAATTCTGAATAACCGGGTAGCTTTGGCATGTCAGAGGAAGCCACCATAAAAGAAATCCCCGGGATCAACGCCTGGGAGAACGGTGAACGCGACCAGCCTGGAGCACAAGCTAATTGTGATTAAGCACGGCGTGACTGCGGCGGGTCACGCGGCTGATCGGCCACCGTCGCTGCTCCCGGAGCCCCCAGCCTCTGTCACCCGGCCCAGCCAGGAGAATCCCTAGCCGACCCCGCCCCCTGTCACGCTGCAGCACCCGCGGGCCGCGACCGGGCCTGCGCGGGCGGCGCCAGGCCCGGGCCTCTCCGCCTTGCAGCACCGGGATCCCAGTGCCGGGCAGCGGCCACCGGCCGAGCCTGCAGAGCTGGGCAGGCCCCGGATCTCACCTTCCTGTCCGGGTTGGCCCGCCCGCTCGCCGTCCCGGATGCTGCCACAGTCGGGGCTTCCGGCTCGGCCCGGAAGCACGCTCGCCCCGCCCAAAAAGGTCCGCCCCTCGTGAAGTCAGGGCGTGTCAGCCCCCGCCGCACCGCCTCCTCGAGCAAGCCCCCAACAGCTCCAGGTGAGACGCGGGTCGAGGCTGTGGCGCCTCTCAGGATGGAGCGTCCGTTCAGGCGGGCGGCCGCCTGGGCCTGACCGCTTGCGGGCTTCTCGGCCTTGCCCCCGGTGCCTCGCTCACGACTCTGAACACCCCATCTCTCACGCCGCGGAGAGAATGAGGTGGTCCACCAGTCGTCCGTCGCGCCTCTGCACAGTCCCCGGTAGCCCTCTCCTGCTCCTATCCGAGTAGAGTGGCCACCCTCCTGCTTCTCAGGCCTGGCCTCCTGGGAAGTGTCGGCTGCTGGTCCTGGCGCCTCAGCCGCTGGCGGTGGATACAGGTTTGGGCAACTAGATAACGGCGGGGCACCGGAGGCCGAGGGGCGGGGGTTAAGATGGCTGCTTGCCGCCGTGGGGACGTCCTGGTGTCGCCCGCCGCTTAGTGCTCCCCGAGCCATCGGTCCTTTGACACCTTCAACTGACCTGACTGCTTTGCCGTCACATGACCTGGAACTCGGGACATTAACGGGACTTATCCGGGGTACTTGGAAGGAATACTGTGAACTGCGGTGAATGCTCCCAACAAATTATAATTTAAATATATTGTTTTGGGCCCCATGACGCTGAGGCTCGTAGAAGACTGGTGTGGGGGGTTGGATGTGGACCCTTGAAAAGCGCTGTTGATTGCCAGCATCCCCCAGACCTGTAATGTGGCAGAAATCGAGGAGGCTCTGCGGGCTGGTTTAGCTCCCTTAGGCGAGGACGGAACGATCGCCAGGAGGTTCCGGAGGGACTGGAACCCTTAATAAGACTTACAAGGAGACTAGTTTTGCTCTGGTCTGTAAGGAGATACCTGGAAAAGGGGGTGTCTGGACAGTGATCTTTAAGCCCCCTGACCCAGGTAATGAATTTTTAAGCAGATTAACTGAATTTTTAGAAGGAAAGGGCATGACACTGGTTGAGTTGACCTGAGCTTTTGGGTACGGAAACGACCCTTTGGACCTAGACCAGGACATGATCCCAGAAATAAGGGCCCATGTGCTGGCACAGGCATTAGATGAGAGGCTCTTCAGCCTGCCCTGCAGTACTTGAAATACAAAAAGCTGCGGGTATTCTCGGGCAGTGATCCTCCAAAACCTGAAGAAGAATTTAAATCCTGGCTGTTTCATATTACTCAAGTGAGGAAGACGTGGCAGGTGTCAGATGCAGAGTAGAAGGTGATTGCCAGAGAGCCTTAGAAGTCCAGCATATGATGTCATCTGTGTCCTCAAGATAAACAATCCTTTCGTTACATTCCCTGAATGTCTGCAGGCTCTTGAGCAGCTTTTGGGGGGTATTGATAATCCTAGGGAGTTGCAGGTCAAATATCAGACCACTTACCAGAAGGACAAAGAAAAATTGTGTACATACGAAGGCTGGTAGAGAGAGGAGCACCTGAGAAAGGAGTCGGGAATCGGGCCCCCCTCGACCAAATCATTCTGGAGCAGTCAGAGGGCGGGCCAGCCCCTGGCTGATGACAGTTACTGGCACCGGTAAGGGATGAAGAGGCAGCTGAGGAGGAGGCCCTTCTCCAGGCAGGATTAGAGGGACACTTCACCGGAATGTTAGGACCCAGAAAGGGACCGCAACAATAAGCAGAGCACAGAGGTAGAGCAACTGATAGACGTTAACCAGGCCCTACCTTGTGAAGCTCAGCAGGTAACTCATTTTCATACAGTTCTCAGTATAAACCTATTGTCATTTCTGTGCCTATTTAATATCGCCTAAGTATGTCATTGACTAGGAAGGCTGTAGTTCTGCACTGGCATTTATATATTTAAATTCACTCCTGTGGATTTTTTTATCATACAAAATTGTACAAATGGTCCGCCCTGCATATGCGTAGTGCTCTGAGAGGAATGCAAGGGTCAGGTGCCCCTGCTGATCTGACTGTGTGGAGATGTCAGCGTGTGTGGTAACAGGTTCAAGTGCAGCATGTCAAATGTGGTAATGTATCATAGTTTTTGGGTATGTATTGCCCTCCATTTATCACGAAGAGTGTGAGCAGTGGTTAACACATTGCGTACTGCTCATGAGTTTTCTCGTGTTTCGCGCGCCATCTGTTATGGACTTCAGATGTCAACACACTGTCTTGTCCACATCGAATGAAGCGATCTCATTGGTGGAAACCGTGCAGGTCAATCTACGAAAAACTATGTAATTGCACGAACCGATAAAGCATTGCAGTTACATTGTATTTTGGTCATTCGAATAGTCTTCATCTTCAAGTTCGTGGTGCTTTTAGAAATGCCCTCTCTCAGAAAAAGGAAGGAAACCAACGAAACTGATACACTTCCGGAAGTATTTAACGATAATTTATCAGATATTCCTAGTGAGATCGAAGATGTGGATGACTGTTTTGATGATTCCGGAGACGATTCTACTGATTCTGCTGACAGTGAAATTATTAGACCTGTAAGGAAGCGCAAGGTGGCGGTGCTTTCAAGTGATTCCGACACTGATGAAGCTACTGATAATTGTTGGTCTGAAATTGACATACCACCACGCTTACAAATGTTTGAAGGTCATGCTGGGGTCACTACATTTCCGTCTCAGTGTGACTCTGTACCCTCTGTGACCAATCTCTTTTTTGGTGATGAATTGTTTGAGATGTTGTGCAAAGAGCTGTCCAACTATCACGATCAAACCTCAATGAAACGCAGAACACCATCTAGAACACTAAAGTGGTCTCCAGTTACACAGAAGGACATCAAGAAATTCCTTGGCCTAATTATTCTGATGGGTCAAATAAGAAAAGATAGCTTGAAAGACTATTGGTCAACAGATCCTTTGATATGTACCCCTATATTTCCACAGACAATGAGTCGCCACAGATTTGAGCAAATATGGACATTCTGGCACTTCAATGATAACGCCAAAATGGACAGTCGCTCGGGGAGACTTTTCAAGATCCAACCTGTGCTGGATTATTTCCTGCATAAATTTCGAACAATATACAAACCAAAGCAACAGTTGTCTTTGGACGAGGGAATGATTCCATGGAGAGGACGTTTAAAGTTTCGCCCATACAACCCAGCGAAAATAACAAAATACGGTTTACTTTTTCGGATGGTGTGCGAGAGTGACACCGGCTATATCTGCAATATGGAGATATACACTGCTGAAGGAAAGAAATTGCAAGAAACTGTTCTTTCAGTCCTTGGACCCTATCTTGGCATATGGCACCATATTTACCAGGATAATTATTACAATGCTACATCTACTGCTGAGTTGCTGCTACAGAACAAAACTAGAGTCTGTGGGACTATTAGGGAGAGTAGAGGTTTACCGCCAAATTTGAAAATGAAAACATCAAGAATGAAGAAAGGTGACTTAATATTTTCCAGAAAAGGCGATATTCTTCTCCTAGCATGGAAAGACAAGCGAGTTGTCCGAATGATATCAACGATCCATGACGCTTCTGTCTCGACAACAGGGAAAAAAAATAGAAAAACAGGAGAGAATATTGTAAAACCTACCTGCATCAAGGAATACAATGCCCACATGAAAGGCGTTGACCGTGCAGATCAATTCCTTTCGTGTTGTTCCATTCTAAGGAAAACAATGAAATGGACAAAAAAAATAGTGCTGTACCTTATAAACTGTGGACTTTTCAATTCATTTAGAGTGTACAATGTACTCAATCCACAAGCAAAAATGAAGTATAAACAGTTTCTGCTATCGGTGGCGAGAGACTGGATAACGGATGACAATAATGAAGGCTCTCCGGAACCAGAGACAAATCTGTCCAGCCCTTCCCCTGGGGGTGCAAGGAGAGCACCTCATAAAGATCCACCCAAAAGGTTGTCAGGTGATATGAAGCAGCATGAACCTACGTGTATTCCAGCGAGTGGAAAGAAAAAATTTCCTACGAGAGCCTGCAGAGTTTGTGCTGCCCATGGAAAAAGGAGCGAATCTAGATACTTATGTAAATTTTGTTTGGTCCCTCTTCATAGAGGAAAATGTTTTACGCAGTACCATACGTTAAAAAAGTACTAGGAACTTTAATTGTTTAATTAGTTGTTTGATTGTTTTTGTAAGTAAAAATGTTATAATTATTGAACAACAACACCTAAAGTGCATTATGATCTGTAGTTATGATGATTTAAATAACGTGCAGTTTGCTCAAAAATGTGCGGTCCCTGGCGTATGTCTTAGAGATTTTTATGCAGTATGCAATGTGTTAAGATACTTTCTTTGTGAACCAGAATTTTATTGATTCTGTGCAATCAAAACAAGAGGCAGAGCTAAATGCTGAGGTTAACTTTGCAGCACCATCTCTAACCCCAGATTCCTGATGTGTGTCCAAAACATTTAGCTCTGAATATCATTTTATTAGGTATTATAAAATTGTAGGTATGGATGTATAAATAAAGGAATGCTGATGAAATGAACTCTTTTATCCATTTGGTTTATGTCAGGTTTCCAAAAGAGATTGTTTTGGAACAAAGGGTTCCAAACTCTTGAATCTGAAAAGCACTGAATTTACACAATCTTAGTCCCTAAGTGAGGTTGCTAGAGGGAGCGACTGAAGCAGATGGAATGAAACAAGACAGTGCAAAGTTAAGGCATATAGCAGGTGAGTACATTGATACCTCAGAGCACTGATTGGAAGGGTTGTGCAGGGCCTGGATTTACACACAAGTGGTCTA